CAATAAATTGACAAAACTAAACCCTAAATCAACAACTCTAACTGCCTCCCTCAAAAATTTTTTATACAATTAAATCTGAGTGTGGATTTGAAATAGAATCAAAGAGGTTTATGGGGCTTTTACCCAAAGATGAGAATGAAGACTCAAAAGACTTGAAGGTATTTTGCACAAATCAATGGAGGCCTTTGTGCGCAAGGTTGTCTTCCTCTTTTCAAATTTTAATTAATTTTCTAGTTTTTATTCTTTATCAGTTTTTATTCTTTTTCAATGTTAATTATAATCCACGTAAGCATCCAAGTCATTGAATGATTCATCGAAGACCCTTAGATGTTATGTAATCTAACGGCTTAAAAGGAATGTAAAAATGTTTGTCAAAATCTTTGTCCCTTGATCCCTCCCTTTATTTATTTATTTTTAAAATTTGTACAAGATCCCAAAATATCAAAGACCGATACCGATAGGTAAACTTTGAGAGATTTTTCAGTGTGACCGGTACATGGGGTGATACATCATATGTTACTATATAAACGATAAGATATATGTGCTAAAAAGTTAATAACTTAAAAAATAAAATTTCCCATCATTACAATTAAAACACGTGATGTACCATTTATGTTCCTGTCACAACTAAAAATTTCTCGTAAACTACAATTTAGGGTTATGCCACGTTTACGTAAAATGATTTTCGTCAAGTGAGTTAATAAAGGTGGAATGACTTAATTAGGTACCATCTTGATTTGTTAACACCTATTTTCACCGACTATATTGATTGAGTTTTAATTTTAGATACCATCTTGATGGTGATGGTCAAATTTAAGGACCATTTGTGATAAAAAAATCTTATCACAATTGATCTAGTAGAGCTTATACTTAATATTAGGGCTGACATTTTGAACCCGACCCGTTAAAACTAGTATTTGGGTGGGTGCTTAACGGGTTAGGTTGTTAACAGATCAACCTGTTAGTCACCCGTTAAATAAGGGGTCATTTTGGGTCAACTCGCGAAACCCATTAGCACCCATTATGGAGGACTTTTGTGTAATTTCAAAGTTGGAATAAAAAACCTAGCTCTCTGAATGTTCTCTCACGTTCGAACTCGGATTGCACGTTCCTCTCCCGGGGTGCCGTTCTCTCCCTTATCTTCTTCCTCAAAAATCAAGGTTTCACTAAGTTCTGCCACCCTCTCTCTAGTAAGTTCCAATTCCCTTTCACCTCTTCGGCTCTTCTTCCATGGTGATTACTTTTTGTTTCTGCAGATTATATTTTTCGTCTATTTGTCTCAGTTTTTGCTTGAGCTTCGAATTAATTTGGAATTAGTTGATTTGTGTTTGATGATTTCAATTGCAATTGTGCTTTTGTTGTGCAAATGGTGCTTTATGTGTGTGATTGTGTTTTTGTTCTCTTCATTCGCAAGTTAGATAGAGAGAGAACTTCCCACTTCTCCATCCCGCACACACTCGATTCATACACACACACATACATACGTTATTCTTCTATTTATCCGTTTCTAGTTCTACCATGGGTTCGATGGTGATTTGGAAGATTGTAGTATTATATATATATATATATATATATATATAAATAGATGTAGATTGTTAGTTAATGTTTGTAATTTTGGGTAAAAGATGTGTAATTTGTATTGGAATGCAAAATGTAAAAAAAAAAAAAACAAAAAAATTTGTTAACATATGAAATTGGTGATTTATTAGCTTTAACGGATTGGGTTGAACCTGACCCAAACCTAATAAACCTAACCCGTTTACAGGTCCACTTAATATATTAACTTTCCACTTTTATCTAGCAATATAAAAACCTTATGTATTATTTGCCATAAAGTCATGCGTACATTTTGACAACAACAAGAAACTTTAGTATATTGATAACATTCTAGACTTTCTTAAGCCTCGTTTGGCAGCTTGGACTGTACTGACTATTTCTGTCGGATAGGATAAATAGCCACCAGACAGTACTGACTAAATTAGTCGGGCGTTTGGTGCAGTATCGGACTAATGACTGTATTATTTATACTGTGTTTGGTTTGGTACTCTATTGGATAAGAAACACAAAAATATTATTATAGCATATCCAGATCCTGAATACAACCTGCAACCATAGATGTCCATGAGACAGTATCCAACCTAGGAGTGCAGCATCTCAAGCCATAATCGGATAAACGCAAAATGTTTGTAATTTTGGGTAAAAGATGTGTTTGTATTGGAATGCAAAATGTAAAAAAAAAAAAAACAAAAAAATTTGTTGACAGATGAAATTGGTGATTTATTAGCTTTAACGGGTTGGGTTGAACCTGACCCAAACCTAATAAACCTAACCCGTTTACAGGTCCACTTAATATATTAACTTTCCACTTTTATCTAGCAATATAAAAACCTTGTGTATTATTTGCCATAAAGTCATGCGTACATTTTGACAACAACAAGAAACTTTAGTATATTGATAACATTCTAGACTTTCTTAGGCCTCGTTTGGCAGCTCGGACTGTACTGACTATTTCTGTCGGATAGGATAAATAGCCACCAGACAGTACTGACTAAATTAGTCAGACGTTTGGTGCAGTATCGGACTAATGACTGTATTATTTATACTGTGTTTGGTTTGGTACTCTATTGGATAAGAAACACAAAAATATTATTATAGCATATCCAGATCCTGAATACAACCTGCAACCATAGATGTCCATGAGACAGTATCCAACCTAGGAGTGCAGCATATCAAGCCATAATCGGATAAACGCAAAGAAGAGTGGACATTATTCAACGCCTTCCAGACTTGAGCGTGAACTTGTTTCCCGTACTCATACTCAAAAGATTCAACCGAGATAATAACCCAATTCACCAAAATGCTCGAGGATAAAAAAAAACAGGAGAGAAATTCATGAGGTAATAATCTATGCCAACCAAAAAGTAAACCAATTTAGCAAATTAACAGAGATAATAACCCAATTCACCAAAAAGTTCAAAAAGTTCAAGAAGTTGGGAAAAATCGCCCAACTAATTTGTTCAACTGGGTTCAAATTTTCAACATACCTAACTCAAGATCTTTGCAATTCTTGCAAAAACCCAACCAAATTGATTTATTTTCAAATGATTCGATCCATACCAGGCAAACAAACCAGGTGGGTAGTGTTCTTCTGGCAGGGGAGATGGGCGCACAAGCAAAAAAAAAATATATATACAGATCAATTTTTTTTTTTGAGATCTGAAAATTGCACAAAAATAGGAGGAGGGCAGAACGGAGAGAGAAGAAGAAGAAAAATAGAAGGAAGAGGGCGAAACAGAAGGGAGGATGAGAACCTGGGTTCAGATGAGAGAGCAAGCAACGCAAGAGAGGCGGAGAGAGCGAGAGAGGTTGTGTCTTCTACCCGACTAAATAATACCGTCCTTTTGGAAAGTATAACCAAGCGGGTATCAGCAATACTAATTAGGTTGGGCAAGATTATATAATCCGGTGCCTATTTAATCCAAACGGGCACCAAACACCGTACTCCGTATTATTAGTACTGTCTAGTACCTTATACGGTGTGCCAAACAGGGCCTTATAAACCTAACCCGTTAACTTAACAGGTCAGGTTGAACTCGACCCAAACCCAATAAACTTAACCCGTTTACAGGTCTACTTAATATATTAACTTTCCACTTTTATCTAGCAATATAAAAAACTTGTGTATTACTTGCCATAAAGTCATGCGTACATTTTGACAACAACAAGAAAGCCAAGCGTGTATTTGTCTCTCCACTTATCGCCACAACTTCCACATCCGCCTTAGGACCTCATAGAGACTTTAGTATACTGATAACATTCTAGACTTTCTTCACTCTATTTTAGTAATAAAAAATTAACTTGTGTATTACTTTATTTCACAAATACAAGCATATTTTGGTATCTATCTTTTCATGGATGAACCCTAAATCATGATTCATGACAATTGGACAATATTCAATTCGTAAAAGTGAGATACTGATTATATTTAAGTTCGAATATTAATTGTTGAGTTTTGTATAAATATATTGTCCAAACAATAAATATGTTATTCCCCAAAACAAACAATAAATATGTTTTTAAATATGAAGATTTTATTTATTTATTTTTAAAATTTGTACAAGATCCCAAAATATCAGAGACAGATACCGATAGGTAAACTATGAGAGATTTTTCAGTGTGACCGGTACATGGGGTGGTACACCACATGTTACTATATAAATGATGAGATATGTGTGCTAAAAAGTTAATAACTTAAAAAAATAAAATTTCCCACCATTTCTATCAAAACACGTGATGTACCACTTGTGTTCTTGTCACTAGACCTGTAAACAGGTCGGGTTTATTGGGTTTGGGTCGGGTTCAACCCGACCCGTTAATTTAATGGGTCATCCGAACCTAACCCGTTAAGCTAACGGGTCATCCGGACCCAACCCGTTAAGCCTAATAAGTCACCCGTTTTCACCCGTTAACAATTTTTTTTGTTTTTTGTTTTTTGTTTTTTTTATTAACATTTTGCATTCCAATACAAATTACACATCTTTTATCCAATATTACAAACATTATATATATATATATATATATATTTGTGGGGATTGAAGTACACAAAAGTCCAACTATAAAATTACACAAAAGTCCTTCTTAACATGTGCTAACTGGTTTTGCGGGTTGACCTAAAATGATCCGTTACTTAACGGGTGACTAACAGGTTGACCCATTAACAACCCAACCCGTTAAGCACTTACCCAAATACTAGTTTTAAAGGGTCAGGTTGGATCGGGTTAACGAATCGGGTTCAAAATGCCAGCCCTACCCGTCACAATTAAAAATTTATCGTAAACTACAATTCAGGGTTATGCCACGTTTACGTAAAATGATTTTCGTCAAGTGAGTTAATAAAGGTGGAATGACTTAATTAGCCTTGTGCATGACGTGGACTTTAATTAATGGGGTATTGTTTCGTACAATTCAAATACATTTTTCTTATAAAAACAAATGCAATGCAAAATACAGGAAAAATTGTGTCCCCTCTATCGAAGCTCGAAAGGCTTCCTCTGCCCAGTTCTTCTGATTCGCGTGCCTCCACATCCAATCTCCATCTCCCGTTGCTTTTTATGGTGTCCGAAATGAGAATTTTCGAAGCTGCTCTCCGGTTTTGAGGAAAAGAGTGTGGAGGATTTAGGGCTTGCTGCCGTATCTGGAATTCAAGAAATCGAATGCTCGGAAGAAGACCAGGTTTCAAATTAAGGTCTGTATCTGTTCATCAAGCCCTAGTTTATTTATTTGAAATATCCAGAGAAATACCATTTTGTTGTAGAAATTCAGCAATTTGAAGGCGGTGTTTTCGTGTTTTCTGGCAATTTCCTCTCCCTGCTATTACTGTTTCTGGAGATTTGTATATGGAAATGCTATCCCAAACCTGCTCTCGGACCAAGAAACGATTTTAGATGTTTTGGAATGTGTTGTCGAATTCTCAATTGCCCTTAAAACTTGGTGTTTCCATGGTTCTTTTACTGGAGTCAATAAATAGTTGTAAAATTTCAGCCGTAGATTGATGGAAATTCGTCTAATTTGCGCCGTTATTCTCACTGAATCAAAGCCGAGCTGCCCAAGCTGCCCAATGTTCTTGTATGGTAGTTCTTATTGTCTTCGCAGAAAATTAGGGCCTGTTTGGTATTGAATTTGAGTACAAAGTTTTAACTCAAAAACAAATTTTAATTTAAGAACAGCCTATTATAATTTGAAAACAACAAAAGTCAGGTTTTAGTATTTTTTTTTTCTTCACAGATTCAGATCGCAATGGACGTCTGAGTGACCTGCGCCGCACAGACCACGAACAGGCCTTCTGCCTCACCAACCACGAACGACCAAGAGATTCTGGCCAGTAGGGTGAAGGTTCCCGCGAATAGCTTTAAGCTTCGAATCTCTGAGTGCTTGATTGGGGACGAGACTGGGCCATTCTCTTCATTGTCAGGAACGATCAAGGTAATGGGTCTTTCTCTCACTGTTTTGTTTGGTCCCTCGGAATGGAGAAAATGATCAGAAAGTTGGATTTATGTGTTTTATGTGTTGGGTTGTGAGAAATTGAGTTTATCTGTCTAATTGGTGTGATTCATTTATGTACTGTGTGTGTGTGTATATATATATATATATATTAACCTAACCGACAATGTGGCATTGCAAATCGCAATCCAAACTGATCAATTTCGGTTCCAGGAAGAACAAATACAAGCTTTTGTTCACAAGGACATTGAAAAGGACTAGGTCGTTTTCATTCTCGGTGAAGAGCATTCTGGACAAGCCTTACGATCTCAAGAATCCGATTATCGAACAAGGTCCTCCTCCTCATCTTCTCTGTTCTTTGATATATATATATATATATTAAAAGAAAAAAAAACCATGCTTTAATGCTTTGATTGTTCATCACTCGCATTTTACCTAGTTAGTTGCAGAAAAGGATTGGGAACCACCATCTGGTTGTGATTAATTTACATGAAAAGTGTATTAAAAATCCATTCTTTGTTAGTCTGATGGTCATTATTTGCTATCCCTTTTTCCAATCAAACTCAACTTTTGAGGAGTTTTTGGAAGTGGGGTTTGTTTATTCGATGGTTAAGAGCTTGAAAATCATCTGTTTAAGCTGGATTTTTGCTATCTTGAATCGATAGATGGCACGAATTAGCTGATGGGTTCATATCCTTTTTTTATGTTGACACGGTAAATATGTGGTTGGTTACAAAATTCATATGGTTGCTTGTTTCATATAATGGATTTCTGACATTTGCTACATGTATGTAGCAAGTAATATTATGTGATATACTTGTTTCATTGGATGGGTCTTTGGAGTAGCCAAAACGTCAAATGTTTGAGTTCAAAAATGAAATTTTCATATTTTCTCTGTGAATGCTTTAATGATAGACTTGGTGTTTGAATTACGTTGTGTTTTTTAGCGATGGTTCCAGTTTGGATTTAATAAGAGAAGTCTCATTTTCATTTTGGTGTCAAAAATTGTGCAATTTGGATTTTAACCCTTGGAATTCAACAAGGTTAGTGATTTTCACTTGTGTTCTCATGTACCCTTCTGTTTTTTGGAACCCTTGATTTGCTTTGATTCTCCATTTGATTCATCATGTTCAAAGGCTGGAAAGACAGGATGAGTGCAGTGGTAGAAGCACTTCCCATCTAACCGAACTTGGCAAATTTCAATAGGAGCCTTTGTGAATATCTTGTTTTTTTCATTAGATACATTGGATTCTCTGGTACAAATAGCATCTACTTACCTACAAATAGTATGTAACTATTTATTATAATCAGAAAACTATAGATCCGTTTGTTGTTGGAGGGGTGGAGTTTGATGGAGTTTTCGATAATTATAAAAAGGGTTTTCGTAAAGTTTCCAGTTTGGGAAAGTGGAGGTGGTGATTTCAATATTTCTGGTATTTTCAGGGCTAGGAGTGGTAGTAGTACTACTGGTGCTCATCATTATGAACATCTCCTCCATGTCCTCTTTTTTTCTTTTGTGTGTGGTCTTTTTCCTTCTCAAATCCCTTTCTTTGCTGCTGCTTTCTTTTTACCATTCTCTTATTTTATCTAATGGCATTAACATTAACATTATACTTTAGCATAAATTTTAATATTATACTTCAGCATTAACATTCATAAGTTGATGCAAATTATCCAAATAGGAAGTAAAGATGCATTCCCGTTGCATGTTATGCCGTGCACAATTTCATTAGAATGCAATCAAGGAATGATACTTTGTTTCAAAAATTTGAAGACAATGATGTTGATGTGGTAGAGACCATATAACCGGTTCAATATGGCTTGATTATGAATAAGCTTATGCATTTGAATGACGACAATGTTACGAATGATGTTAGAGACCATATAACCGGATCAATGTGGCTTGATTACGTCAATAACAATTAGTCTCAAAGTTTATTGGTTTTCTAGAATGTTTTAATGTAATATTTATTGTCTAAGACTTGAAGTTTAATTTGATTATCGAGCATGTATGTGTTGTATTAGCACATAGATATCAAAATAGTATGTTTAAGGTTTAATTTGATATGTTTTGTATATCTTAAAACAAATACATAATTGGGGAAAAAAAACTGTTTTCAAGAGTTAAACCAAACAAGTTTTCAAATTTTTAGATTCAAAAGTAGTTTTTAAGTTCAATGCCAAACAAGTTTTTGAAACCTAAAAAAAACTGTTTCTAAGAGATGATCCTGAAAATTAGTTTTAAGAACAATTCAAGTTTTTTGAATAGGATACCAATCAGGCCCTTAGGGTTTTCTTCTCCTCTCTCTTTCTTCCCATCTCCCTCTCCTTATTCCACTGCCTCTCTGATTCTCTCCCCATACTCCCCCTTCGTTGGCTTCTTCTTGAAAATTTGAGAACCACCATATGGATATTTCTCCCCCATATGAAAGGCAAAATCTCCCTTTCTCCAAATTTGCATTTGAATCCTCTACTGTTCGTACTGGTATAGGGAAAGCCAAAAGTACGCTGTCTACTTAGGTTTATCCTGTCTGCATCTATTTGTAAAACAAGCGGCAAGTTCTTCCCAACTGGGTATTCAAATATTCTTCTGAGTTTTCCTTTCCTCTTTCCTTTCTGATTGATTGATTGTAATTCTATCTGGTTATTATTGTGATTTGATCTTATTTTGTTTGCCCTAGCACATTTATGTTGTTTCTAATTTTTTGATGGATTCTCCTTATATTCCGTATATGAGATTTGTCCAGTATTTGTTAGAGAGATTTCTTCTATTTCTTGGTGTTGTTGGTTTTGGAATTTTGATTCTTAGTTCTTATTCCATTGATGACTTCTACTTCTATTTTGTTGTGCTGAGAGTTATATATTTTATGAGATTTTTTATAATTAGAGGTTTATTTTGTCTTTTTTGTTTGTATTAAGGTCCCCAATTAATTACCTTGCCTATGGCCCAAGAACATCAGGGCTTGCCCTGGATCTAATTATTAGATTCTTCATTTGGATCTTTGTTATGTGCTGAGCAGCTATATTTATATTCTCATTTCAGTCTTCTGAAATTTCTTAATGGTTATTGCAGTGCTGTTACAACATGGGTGGTGATTCATATGATGGTTCCCAAGATGGAAGGGATGAAGGTACAGTTGGATGTTTATCTCATTCATAAATGTGTTTTGCAGTTCAATGAGTTGTTTGCTCTTTGTTAAAGAGACAATTGTATTAAGAGAGGAGAAAATTAACAAAGAGGTTGGCCAAAAGAGTGAAATTCCCCCGCACAAAAAGCAAAGAAAACAGCCAGTATGAACAGCTGAGAAGGCCTAAAAGACAGTAGAGGATATCCGCCTTCAAGTGTAGCCTAAGAAGATTCCCCTGAATTCTTAGTAAAATGAAGCCCAAAGAGGAGCAGCCAGAAACAGAATCCTACCCAGAGCTCTGCTAAACCAACTCCAGCAAAATCTTGAAAGATCCTTCTGTTTCTCTTTACGCAAATGACCGCATGAAACATTCAACCCCACATGACCTTGGCCTTCTTACCCTACCAAGTCAAAGCACGAGGTTTACCAAAGAGGAACAATCCTTTGGGATTACCCAAGTGATACCCATCTCGTTAACCATCTTCAGCCAGAAACTCAACTTTAATTGTTTTGACCTTTGTATTTCAGTACTCATTTACTGTTATTTATAGTCTTGCATACTGATTGAGTGTGTTCTGAAATTGTTGATATGATAGATGATGAGGAAGAATATGAGGACGTTGGTAGGGGTAGTCGATTTCTTGGATTTATGTTTGGCAATGTCAATGACTCTGGTGGGCTTGATGCTGATTACCTTGATGAGGTAAGTTTACCCCCCTTAATTTCTCTCTCTCCTTTATATTTTATACTTTTGTGGTTTTGAGCAAGCAATGAAATTTGTTAGCTATAACATAATCAATCATGTGGATATTCATTGGTGTTTCCATCTTTCTTATTGAGTGTTTTGGGTTCTAATTTAGTAATGTAATCTTTGTTGCTAACCCACAGGATGCAAAGGAACATCTTGCTGCACTTGCTGACAAGCTGGGTCCATCATTAACAGGCATAAATGTATGGATTCCTTATCCATCCATTTTGAACTTTCTCTTAATTGTAGTCTTCCATATTATTTTGGGTCCGGTTGTCATGACTTGTAATCTCTTCTTTTTTACTTCTAGTCCCTGATACAAAATTTTTTATTTTATTTTTAGCTGTCAGTAAAATCACCACAAACATCAACTGATGCTGTTGAAGAAGGTGAGTGTTGTGAGCCTGGAAAAATGATCTTATGCAATTTTGTGATGTTTTGCTATTAACTCACCATCCACCCCCCTCCCCCGGTTCATATTTTTAAGTTATATTTGGGCATGACATTTTCTTCTATTGGCTATCAAGTAAGATCATTTTGAGAACAATAGGTATCTAGTGAATGCACTATGACTACTCCCCCTAATTTTATTTGTGATGCAATATGATTACTCTCTCACAGTTTACTTGTGAGTGCACTATGATTTCTCACTCTCAATTCATTTGTGAATACACTGGGGTAGTTTTGTGATAAATTTAATTTAATTCGGATGTGATAAATCTGACTTTTTCTCCTTCCAATCTTGCAACACCCAGATGAGTTTGGATGCCACATTATGATCACAACCATTAGTTCACTCCTTTCTCTCTCCCTTTCCACTCCCTATTTTTATGCTAATGAAATATTTTATTTCCGGCTGTCTAATTTATATCCTTCATCTCCTAATATCCACTTTGAGAGGCCGCTTGTGTCTCCTAGCAGATGGATTTTGCGACAATGGTCATAAAAGTAAAAATTGTTGCTGCAAATTAGATAAGTTTGTTTCTACTGTGTTGCTGAGATGTTTAACCTCAGATAACTTTTGTGTTGTCTGTGCCTTAGGGTTGTACATTGTACAATTTGAACTTCTGCACTGGATGAAGTTAGGGTGGTTCTTATATTCTCTGCTTTTTATTCGACCGTAGCTAGTCTGTTTGTCTCATAACAACGCGGGAATAGTTGTATCATAACAATGTGGGAATAGGAAAGAAATTCAATGTTGTCATTCTGATGTTCTGAGTAAGCTCTCATTTTGCTCTCTTGTGTCAGATTATGAAGAGAAGGCTGAAAATGCAGTTAATTATTTTGATATTGATGAGGATTTTGAGGGACCAGAGATTCAAGCTGCTACTGAGGAGGACCATTTGTTGCCAAGAAAGGAATATTTTTCTGCTCAAGGTTCATTTGCTACTTTGGAGCCCACAAATTCTATGTTTGATGATGAAGATTATGATGAAGAAATTGGACAGGAACATGAGGTGGTTGAAAGCAACATAGATGTTCAAACTATCTCTTTACCAGGTTTTTTTTTTTCATTTGAATAAGGTTTTTGTTTTTTGCCAACTTTTTCATGGTGCATTTGTCAGTGTGTACCTAGATATTAGTGATGGATAAGATACAAGTTGATGCAGTTGTATAATTCAATAGATTGTCTTGCAGGGGTTTCTACTGGAGAAAAATATTCTGAGGATGATTGTCAAATTGGGGGTCTGGACTCTGGAAATTTGGCTGCTCGTGCAGAAGAGTTTCAGGTCAGATTTTGAGAGTAGAAAAAAATCCATATTGTTTCTGGCTTTTGGATAATATTTAAATTGACATGTTAAGATATACAGAAAGGATTATCTTCATTCATGTAAGGCTTCTTTTCTTGTATTAGGTGCTTGTTTAAAGCTGATCAAATGGATAGATTATATTTGACAGTAATTGTAAAACCAAAACATGATTTAAATTCTAGTAAGGCATGAAAAAGAGTGGTGGACTACAGTATAAACCTTAAATGGTTCAAGCAGTGAAATAAAAAAAATTGAAGGTGATCACAGGAGTTTCACTTTGCAAATCTTAAATCTAACAGCACATCCTAGCCACTCTGATTTATAGCATTGGTTCCTTTCACTTGTTGCAGCTCCCCATGGTGTTGAAGTTATATTATTATCTTAGAAAATAGGTTTTCCCACTTGGTCCTGAACTCCTGGCGTATGTTGTGTAGATGTAGAGTCTTCTTAACATTATGTAGGATAGATCTTTTGTGCTCATTCTGGGCTAAGTGAATACTAGAAAGCATCATGGCAGAAATTAATTTCCAAAAGAGCCAAGCTGCAGTCTCTTGGTAGTAGGTTTGCATGTGTGGTGGGATATTGGCCAATGAATTTTCGGGGTTTTCTCTAGGTGGAAACACGCTCTTGGGATCCTGTGAGAGAGTTTTTGCCAAGGGTGGGTTGGTTGGTAGACCCACGAAAATGGCCACCCCTAGTGCCAGTGCCTTTTTATGTCACTGATGTTGCGTTGGAGCTTGAATGTTCTGTCCCGGTATATTTTAATTCTGTTTTGTATTGAGAAAATCATCTGTTCTGGCAAGTTGGGGCATGATCGGGGATATTACGACATAGTTTTCGTTCATTGGTAGGATGCCAGGCAATACGAACTACATTATACTACTACATTATGTGATATGGGCGATATGGCTATATTTTCTCTAATTTGTTTGAGACGCTATAACAAATGTTGTTGGGGGGGGGGGGAGCTAATTTGTGAATGCAGGTGTTTTCTTTGTCATGGGAACGTGTCTTTTTTTTTTTCCCACTCTTCAACTTAATTGTATATTAACAGTGCTTATCATGTTTCTATTAGTCCTCATTGATGTTTACATCTCTCTCGGATATTACAGGAAGTGCTTACAGATAAAAGTGCCACACCGCTGCCAGTTCTATGCATAGAAGATGGAAAGGTGATATTACGGTTCTCGGAAATCTTTGGTATTCATGTGCCCTTGAAGAAGGCGGAGAAAAGAGATCATAGGTACTCTGTTCCTAAAGGTATGGGGCTTATATATGTAATCATCCTTAATAACGTAATTTTGCTAGGCAGAAGTTACTTATCTTTATGGCGGCAAACTACTATCTCAAAGCATATTCTAGGAAATATGTGTACTTCTTTTCTTTTTTGGTTAAAATTTTGGTAGCAATTAAGGTTATCTTCCTATCATGTAGGCCTTGTAGTTTTGTTTTGAAAAAAAACGTTTTAGTTATTTTATATTTTGCTTTATCAAGATATCTTTAGTATTTTTTTTTCACAACTGCAATCCTTTCAGATAGGTACAAATCCATGGATGTTTCTGAGATTGTTGAAGAGGATGAAGAGTCATTCTTAAAAGGATCTGGTCAAGGATTTCAATCTTTGAAACAGGCAGATGCACTCAAACATGACATTTTTTCAGCACTCTATGATGAAGACTCGGACTTCGCAAAGTTTCGTGTTCTAAAAGGGGCAAATTCAGTGGATCTGCTGGATGACAGGGCAATAAAGGACTCTTGTCTCATTGCGGAACGAATGAAAGAGAATCAAATAGTTGACATTTCTGTGGAAAGGCAATCACCTTTGTGTTCAAAATTTTATCCTCTTGATCAACAAGACTGGGAAGAGGGAATTGTTTGGGGAAATTCTCCTATAGCAAGTGACAATTCTGTTGAGAGTTGTGAAATTTCGGGACCTGACGAAGCTTCATTTAATAGTGAAACAGAACCTTATAGTGGGACACAAAATATTCAGTTAAAGCCCCAAAAAGAACCTGATGAGAAGGATCACGCTGTTATGCTGCGTAGCTCATGTCTATTGGAGCCTTTTGGCTCAAGAAATTCATCAGAATTTTCATCTCTTCCTTTCTCGGAAAGCAGACGCCATCCCCAACTTTTAAGGCTAGAATCTAGATTTGAAGTGGATGACCATGCTGATGGTGCAATGGAGAGTGTCAGTAAGAAGCTTCATCAGAGTGACGCTGTGAGGCAATTTAGCAAACTCACTTCACAGAACAGAGACATGCTGGAAGGATCTTGGTTAGACCAGATAATATGGGACCCAGATATGCCTACTGGGAAGTCAAAGCTTATCCTTGATCTTCAAGATGAGCAAATGCTTTTTGAGATTTTGGATAACAAGGAAAGTGAACATCTCAGGCTTCATTCCGGGGCCATGATTGTGACTCGCCCAATAAAGTCAAGTAATGGGGATTCTTTTGAGTTTCCAGGTCATGGAGGTCAATCTGGGTGGCGATATGTTTCTAATGATAAACACTATTCAAATAGGAAAACTTCTCAGCAACTGAAATCAAATTCTAAAAAACGCACAGCGCAGGGCATAAAGATTTATCATTCACAACCTGCACTGATGTTACAGACAATGAAACTGAGGTTAAGCAAGTAAGATGTATTCTTTATAATACTTATTCTTTTTTGTTTAGTATCGCTCCATGCTTTTTTGTCTTGTTAAATTGTTGTATTCTTGATTTTCAGTAGGCATGGTTTAGAGTCATTTGGCCCAACTCTGTTTGTAAATGGGGCTTCTCTGCACAAGTTGCTGTTAGCTATACCAGGTCGCTCATAAGCAAGCATGAAAATATCCATATGGGTAGATATATTGGCAGTCCTGTATAAGCCATGTTCCTTCACAAAGAAATATAAATTACAGCTAATCTGTAATTACTTTTAGTTGTATAAAAACAGAGTAGGTCTTGCAAGTTCTTTGAGATTTTGAATTGATGATTGACTTTAGGTAGTTCTGGTTATCGCTTTCAGAAAATATGTCCATCTAAAGGTTATCTTACAATGGGCATGCTGGATTCTAATCATTTTTATTTGGGGAAGCACACAAATGGAACTGGTTATAATAATGAATAAGCTTTCTTGTACTTGTACCTGATAGATATCCTATGGGTTTCATGTTGATTTTTATTTGTTAAATTTGTACTTAAATATTGTATTCCATCCGACTCCTGCTCTTACATGCTATGCTGCCTTTCTTAATTTAATTATATATACATATATTTTTCAGTAAGGATGTGGCAAATTTTCACCGACCAAAATCTTTATGGTATCCTCATGACAATGAAGTGGCTGTAAAAGAACGAGGAAAGCTCCCCACGCAAGGACCAATGAAAATTATAGTTAAAAGCTTGGGTGGCAAAGGAAGTAAGCTTCATGTGGATGCTGAGGAAACAATATCTTCTGTTAAAGCAAAAGCTTCAAAGAAGTTAGGTTGTCACTTCTTTTTTGTCTGTGTTTTTTCTATGTAAATTGAAGTTTAATAATTGATGAAGATCTTATGAAGAATCTACTGCATTGAAATTTGTATACAAGTCATATAGTTTACTCAGTCCTATTTATTTTGTAGATTTTAAGCCATCCGAAACAGTGAAGATGTTCTATTTAGGGAAGGAACTTGAAGATGATAAATCTCTTACTGTCCAGAATGTTCAACCAAATTCTTTGCTTCATCTTGTTCGCACAAAAATATATTTGTTGCCAAGAGCACAAAAGATTCCTGGTGAAAATAAATCTTTGCGGCCTCCTGGAGCATTTAAGAAGAAATCTGATCTTTCTGTGAAAGATGGTCATGTATTCCTAATGGAGTAAGCAGCCTTGAAATACCTGTTTTCAATCTTTTATGTGGTTGCCTCATTTCCAGTACGAGATGGTTTGCTTGCATCTTAATTTGTTCAAAATTACATCTTGCATATAGAAGAGTGTCATGTTAGTTTTCATTTTTCATTTCTTTGGTAACAAAACTTCATTACTACCATAAATACAATATAAATTTCGTGAACATGCAAGTTGTTCTTTTGCCTTGCATGAACTTTTTTCAACTGTACAAATATGAAGGTGTGCCTAAACCCTTGTTTTTATTATCTTTTCAGGTACTGTGAAGAAAGACCTTTACTTTTGAGCAATGCTGGTATGGGTGCAAGATTATGTACTTATTACCAAAAATCAGCCCCAGATGATCAAACTGCTTCTTTGTTACGCAATGATAACCACAGTTTGGGACATGTCATTTCACTAAATCCAGCTGATAAATCACCTTTTCTTGGAGATACAAAAGCTGGTTGTAGTCAGTCATCTCTTGAAACAAATATGTATAGAGCACCTGTATTTTCTCATAAGGTGCCCTCAACTGATTATTTGTTAGTTCGTTCTGCAAAGGGGAAGCTTTCAATTAGACGTATTGACCGCCTAAATGTTGTTGGGCAACAGGTTTGTTCTAGCGAAACTCTTCATTGCTTAACCCTTGAATATTTTTATTTTTCCTCTTGGGTTTTCCGAATTGTTTTTTCCCTTCACTCTCCTGTTGGTGATTTATTGGTGATGGATTTTAATCCCTTGCTTGATCTTGCTTTTCGATGGGGTATGATGTTATGCAAACCAATTGGATGACATGTGAATCTGAGGTGTTGTGGTAAACGAATTATAATGTTAGCTTGATCTGATTTTGTTTAGAGTAGACAGCTATATTGGAGCCTCTTTCTCATTGGCATTGGATGTGAGAAATGGTACTGAAACTTTGGATGACCTAAATGCTTTGTTGCCCTCATTACATGTCGTTGTGGTGAAGTTTTTCAGGGAGGGGTATTGTTGTAGACGAATTATAAAGTTAGCTTGGTTTGATTTTTTTCATAGTAGATGGCGATATTGGAGCCTTTTTTCCCATTAGTACCGGATGTGCAAAATGCTACTGAAATGTTTTGTTGCTCCCATTACATGTCCTTATGGTGAAGTTTTTCCAGGGAGGCCAGGTGAATTGGTGAAGTTTTTTTAGGTAGTGTTGGGGAGATGTACTGTGATGTCAATTTTTTGGGTGGTGTTGATGGAGCGGAATTAAAGATAATTTAAGGGAGTGAGGGATAAAGTTTGCTTTTGTCCTTCCCTTTGGATGCTGCTATATGCAGAGTGCAGGGATATTTATTTTCAGGCTTTATGTTATGATTGGTGTGGTGCCATTTTTATATTTAATTCCACTCATGTTTTCTAATATTTTTTCTATGTTAGTTGCATAAATGGTCCCTGAACTATTCCTCATGTTTCATTTTTGCTCCGGAATTTTTGTAATGGGGTGTGATTGTGGTGTCAAACAGACTCTTTTCCGTTAACCCTGTCCAGTTTTCTGTTAAATTTTGAAATTCATCCTACAATCTTAAAGCTGAATGGAACATTAAAATAAAAATAAAAAAACTGAAATAAATATTGTGGGGAGTGGGCTCACAATAGGTTGTCTTTGGGAAGGGGTGGTTAATTTCCGACCAAAGTGCACACTCTGGAACTCCCTCTCTTTAACTCCGTCAACTTTCTCGACCTTCCCCAATACGACGGGTTCAGACGAGTACCACCACAATACAACGGACCAGATCTCTAAAACTCTCACTTCCGTGACCTCACTAACGAACTCGACTCTCTGCCAATGAGAACGCTCATCTCTGATCGACAATCAAATTGAAGTTTAATCTTTTGCATTTCGCTCTGTATTCCTTATCCACTTTTTGTACATATTTTCTTTAAAATTCAATATCTTGTTTCCTTGCGATAAAATATACATATATACTATATGGTGATAGTGATAAAACTACAGAAGGGTCGGGTGGAGAAACTGTGAATGGCAATAGGTCCTTAATAGTTGAACTTACTTATTAGTTAAACTTATGGATTTATTGTTTTCTTCTATTATTTTATCTAGGAAGGCTACTTTTACGTCAGTTGCTTTCTATTCTAGTATTCATTTGGTTCATAAGTCTTTATAATGTAGAGCTGTGTTTTTTATTTGACATGGACTCCTTGTCCTCAGTTTTCTAATTTCTCCAGGAGATTAGTAAAATTGGTTTTGTTTCAAAATATAAAAAATAAAATTTCCTCATCATAATTGCATGGTCCGAGTATTATTTTATTTGTGTCTAATTGTGCACTGCCAGCCAATAACAATATCAGTATATCTATATGTGATACAAGACAATCTTTTGAGAGCAAAGTATCTTTAAAATTGAACTCTCTGCATTCATTGTTTGCAGGAACCACTCATGGATGTAATGTCTCCTGGAACTAAGAATCTTCAAAATTATATGATCAATAGGCTTCTTGTCTACATCTGCCGAGAGTTCCGTGCTGCCGAAAAGCGCCATTTACTTCCTTGTATCCGCGCAGATGAGTTACCTTCACAATTTCCTTATCTATCTGAACCCTTTCTTCGGAAGAAGCTGAAGGAACATGCAAATTTCCAGGTGATTTTCATTTTGCTCAGTTCTTTCATGCCACATGTTCTCTTTTGATTCATTATTTTTATTTTATTCGTTTTTACCATTTTCCTCACTCAACTGAACATTATAAATGGATATACAACACATTTCCAGAGAGCATCAAATGGACAATGTATGTGGGTTAAGAAACGCAACTTCCGGATTTTGTCGGAGGATGAATTAAGGAATTTGGTGAAACCAGAAGAGGTGAGTTACACTTTAGATCGTTTTCTTTTATGTTTTTACTAAGTGAGTTATACTTGCTAAATGTTGATTTTTGATGGGGAAAATACATATAAAAACTGATTTCAATTATTTCAAAGTTATGTGATAAGAGTATTCCATTATCTGACCTTGTCCTGGGGTCAAATTATCAGTTTCTTGACCTGTTAATTGCCCTGCTAGTAGCCTTCTATCAAGTTTTCTTCTACGCTTGAATGGTAATCCTAAATATGTTCTTGTTGACCCCTAATATTTGTTAGGTTTTTCCAGCCCATGATAAGTTGTCATAAGTCTATAAGGAATTATAGTCTTAGAGGATTAAATTGTTTTCCCAATTGGAGTTATTTTCCCAATTGGAGTTAGTTTCTCAATTGGAGTAGGATTCATAACTAGATTCCAATTAGGATTAATAATCCTTATTGAAGAAGACCTTTATTATGTCTATATAAAGGGGCTGTTGTACTAGTTTTGAATTTAAGGGAGCAAAACAATAAATTGTATACCACTCAAGGGATTAGAGTGAGAGAATATTGTAAAGTGTGTGTGAGAGAGAAGAAAAGAGAGTGTATTTCTTGTTCTTGTTCTTTCAGGTTTTTCGTCAAGTCATAGTTCTAGAGATTTGGCAAGATTATTGGTTGCACTCATTATTGATATAGTGAAATATTGTTGTTGCTGTCCCATGGACGTAGGCACGTATTGCCGAACCATGTAAATTCTTGGTGTTATTTATCTTGGTTATTTGTTTTTTGATTTCTGAAGTCATTTTGTTTTTCCCATTCTTAACTGCGATATTCTCAACAATATTTGTATTATCCTTAAGCTGTTGGTTTTGAACTTCTGATCATTCTTCACCAAAATCTTATCTAAATGTAAATAGGGTGGTTTTATTGCCACCCCCAATCTGTTGAAGTCACATCCCGTGCTGAAAATACCCGCCACATACTTTTAAATTAACGTATTAACTAAAATTACCCACCCAACTTAACCAAAATGCCCTTAGTAGTTATCCACCAATTGTTGAAAAATAGATTACACCACCCAACACATCAATTGCCTTAACTTGTGAACTCCTCCCAGAACCCTTAAATTCTCATCTTGAATGACGAAAACACTGAAGATCTCATTGTTGCTGGAAATTGCAATGTCTACGGCAACAGTGATACTTACTATTGAGCTTGTGTTCATTAGAAAAGTACCAAAAATGGGGAGGAATTTTGTCGGGAACTACTGAAAATTTGCAGAGTTTTTGGTTATTTGCGACCAAATACTGGGACTCATGATGGACTTCCAGTATTCAGCAGAAATAAATTGAAGAGGATTTTCGGTTTCTTGCTACTGAACAGTTTCATAGTTTTCGGTTGATTGTTATGATGAACTTCTAGTATTTAGTGGACAGCAAACACATATTTTTGGGTTTTTGGTTGCTGGCCACTGAACCTTTACATACTTTTGGGTTTGTTGCTACTGAATACGGTGCCTTATAATGGCCTCAGTAGTCATTTCATGTTGAGAACATGTATTTTTCATATGAAAAATTTAGCGATTGCCATCAGTAGATTGGGGGTGGCAATAAAACCACCTACATGTAGATATGCTTTGGCTTCCTTGTATGCATCTAATGCATCAGAGTTTAAGTCTTCCTTTCTCATTTTATTTGTTTGGAGTTTAGCTGACCTTAGCCCAACGCTGGTACGGTAATATCTTGTTTGTACCGGTGGACTTCTTGTTCACATGATTGTACTTTTGTCTTTAATGAAAGTTTTTGTTACTCTTAAATAAAATAGAAAGAACTCTCGTTTTTTTTAAAGGACAATAAAACACACCCTTTTTCTCCTCCTACATACCCCTATTTAACCCGTCCATTGCTTCTGTTTGATTTATTCAATCCCATGGCCAGAAAAAAAAAGATGGGTGTGAAAATCAGCTCCCTAAAACTGTAGTTGTTCTGATTTCATATCTGTTAAAGAAATATTGTTACCCAAAATTATGACTCAAATTTATTAGTGTATAAGGGCCAGTGCCATTTCTACCTCGTCAACCAAGGTTTTTTTTATTTTAATAGGCCACATTAAAAAAATTAAAATGATTCTGGCACTTGACTTGATAGATCCCCATAATTCCACGATTGCATATTCTTCAAGATGCATTCATGTTTGGAAACTCTTCTCCTTTTTCTGTTGGAAGGGCCGCAGCCATATTTTGTTATTCTGTTTAAATAGGCTTCTTTCTGCTCTATTTGGAGAGTGTATTTACAATGTTTTTACATTTCTTCTTTACTCTCTCTCTCTCTCTCTCTCTCTCTCCCCTCCTTCTCTCTCTCTCCCCCCATAAGCTCGTATTTTTTGCCTGAAGTTTGTTATAGAGTCTTGGACTGCATGCTCCATTTTCCTCTACTTTTTCCCCACAAAAGATTTTGTTGATGATGATGATAATATCAATGTTTAGAGTCACTAAAAGTTTTTTGTGTAGCTACATATGCGCATAATAGTGTTCAGTGTTGTGATTGATATGTAACAATGTTTTTTCTTTTATCTCGTAAATCTTTTGTTTGAATCCTCTGAATATTAGATAAATGGATGCACCATAATTTCTATCCTGATGGCTGTTGTCAAAGATAGATAAGGGAAACAACTCATATATCTGTCCTTTGTATTTCAAGTTTGCAATAAGCTATTGGTTTGATGTATGAACTCAGTGTGTTAAATGGTTTTATTACCGAATAGATATGTAGCTCATGTCACTTTGTTGTTTTTACTTTTGAGTTTAGGTGTGTGCCTATGAAAGCATGCAAGCTGGTCTTTACCGGCTCAAACATTTGGGAATTACTGAAACACATCCGTCTGCCATATCTTCTGCAATGAGTCGTCTCCCTGATGAAGCAATTACTGGCTGCTGCATCTCACATTGAAAGAGAACTGCAGATCACTCCATGGAACTTGAGTAGCAACTTTGTAACCTGTACACAGGTAACCTATCTCTTTGATTTTATGATAGTTGATTTTCATCATTTTCTCTTTTATTTGTTTTGCATCATATGCTCTTTCTGTTCTAGTATTCAATTGGGAATTACTGAAACCATCAGTACCTTTCTTTCTATTTATATATTTATTTACATGAGTTTCTTTGTTCCTTTCAAAGGGAAAAGAAAATATTGAGCGTTTGGAAATATCTGGTGTTGGTGATCCATCTGGCCGGGGCCTAGGTTTCAGTTATGTTCGTGCTGCTCCAAAACCATCAATGTCAAGTGCAGTCGTGAAGAAAAAATCTGCTGCTGGTCGAGGAGGTTCCACTGTTACTGGAACAGATGCTGATCTACGCAGATTAAGCATGGAGGCTGCACGAGAGGTGCATTAAATCTGTTCTAATTTTTTATTGTTCTTTTGTTAGAGTGTTTGTCTATGGCCTCTCAACATAAATTTATCTTCTTTTGTAGAATAGGATATTTATGCATCACCGTTCCCTTCTGAAAATTTTGTGTGTAATCTAACTTTATTTGTTTTTGTTGTCTTGCATCTTGGATTGTGTTCTAATTCCCAGGTTCTTCTTAAATTTGGCGTTTCTGATGAGCTGATTGCAAGGCAGACTAGATGGCATCGTATTGCGATGATACGCAAGCTTTCAAGTGAGCAAGCTGCATCTGGGGTTAAAGTTGATGCAAACACTATCAGTAAATATGCACGTGGCCAGCGTATGTCCTTCCTTCAGCTGCAGCAGCAGAACCGGGAGAAGTGCCAAGAAATTTGGGATCGGCAAGTGCAGAGTCTTTCAGCTATAGATGGGGAAGAAAATGAGAGTGACTCTGAAGGAAATAATAGTGATCTAGATTCCTTTGCTGGGGATTTAGAAAATCTGCTTGATGCAGAAGAATGTGAAGAAGGGCTAGGTGGTGTTCATGAATCCAATCATGATAAATCAGATGGTGTTAAAGGGCTTAAAATGAGAAGGCGCCCTTCCTTGGCTCAGGCAGAAGAGGAAATTGAAGATGAAGCAGCTGAAGCAGCTGAGTTATGCAGGTTGCTCATGGATGGTAAGGATATTTTTATTTATTAACTAGTTACATTTGTGATATGAAGAAAATACTAAATTAGAAGATTTCCTTATCCCAGTATAGGTTGTGTAGAATGGACAATGGAAAAAAAAAAGTAGTTGCAACTTGCAACAAAACCACAGTACATAAGTGGGAATTTTTGTGCTTCTAAATATTTGGGCAACCACTTTTTTTCTGGTGAATGGGGTTCTTGGAATTTCTAATGGTCGTATGATATTGAGTTCTATCTGCTGGATGTCATTGTGGTGCTGCTACTTGTGATATATGGTTGACCATGACAGCTTGTACACAGATGATGAAACTGAGAGGAAAAAGAAGAAGAAAACAAGAGTTTTGGGGGAGGAAGTTGGGCTGGCTCCTGGCATGCGAACAAGTTATATCGTAGAAAATGCAGATAGGGGGAAAAAAATAATTGCTGCTGTACAACCTGATGGATTCTATACTCCAAAAGATAATTCAGTCGGAGATGCGAAAGTGGTAAGAATGATTCACCTTTTCGTCATATTTATTCTTTATTTATTTTCTCTTTTAATTCCACTCTTGTTTCAACATGTAGGTCATGTCCGATCATGAAGATATTCATTCTCAATGTATGTTGCTTGAACTGTGTGTGATGTTCTATGTTTTCGTTGCAGGTGGAAAATTTTCTTAAAAGAAACAAGACTGGAAAACTAAAAGGAATGAAAAAGAATGATACTACACATACGGGTCTGATGAACAAGAAACTGAAAATATCAGGAGATGGTGTCAAGGCAAGTGTTCTAACATTTTTTTTCTTGCTTCGTGTTTTGAGCTTATTCCTTTTTCTTTGTATTTCTAATCTTCTATATTACTTACGCTGTTACCGACTTCTGTATTTAGTTTTTTTTTTTAAACTTATTTGGCCATAACTTTCTTTTTACACATACATTTCCCTGATTTATGTTTTAATTTACGTTTACAAGTAAACTTCCTGCACTATGAAGGTCTGATTGTCAGACGTTTAAAAAACCTTGTTCGCTTTTGTTTGTAACCCATACTTTGATATGCAGTTGTAGATTTTCTTCTATTCTATACCAATACAAGACTCAATCTGGCTGTGACTTTGGGAGGCGATAATGTGTTATACTGTTGTTCTTATGTGTCCTACTTTAGCCTTTAACATGAGTATGTGCTAATAATTTTGACTTCCTCTTTGGATTCAGAGTACTTTTAAGGAGAAGAAATCAGCACGAGAGAAATTTATCTGTGGAGCATGTGGTCAGGTTAGTGTAGAGTTTGGGTAATATTCTGCTAAATAATGCGACTCCAAATCAAATACTGATTGCTCACCTTTTCGATGGCCAGCTTGGACACATGAGGACAAACAAGCACTGCCCCAAGTACGGATATGGAGAAGATCAGGAAACACAGAATGATACTCCGGACCCTGATAAATCATCTGGAAAGACAACGGCTCTGAATTCATCTAGTCAGTCTCAACAGAAAACTACTACAAAGAAGCTGGTACCTAAAAGTGCAACTAAAATTGCCGTGGTTGAAGCTTCGGAGGTTGAAAACCTTGGGCTGAGCACAAAGGTTCTTCCATTGAAATTCAAATGTGGGTCAACTGAAAAGCTTCCTGATAAACAGCCTCTTGGAGAGACAGAGAGTTCTGAGCGGGTCACATCTGATCCCGAAAATGGGAAGCCCACTATGAAGGTGCACAAAATAATAATTTCGAACAAGATGAAACCTGAAAATGTACCTGTTGAACCTCAGAAGCCCCCTATTGTGATGCGACCTCTGACAGATACAGATAGGGGTTATGTCGAATCACAAAAGCAAACTATTGTTATACGGCCACCAGCAAATACTGATAGAGACCAGGGGGAGTCTCAAAAGCTCTCAGTTGCTAAACGGTCGTCAATGGAGGCAAAGAGAGAGCAACATCACAAGAAAATTATAATTAAACGTCCAAAAGAAATTATTGATATAGATCAGATCAGTCAGGATGGGGGAACTCCTGTTGAACACAGGAAAACTAAAAGAATTGTTGAATTGACAAGTTCTGAAAAGCACAGGAAGCAGGAGAACGTGTATTTGGCTAAGGAAGCAGCAAACAAGAAAGCTAGAGATGAAAGGAGATTACGAGAGGAGCAAGAGAAACGGATAAATGAAGACAGATTGAGAGAAGAGAGGGCCAGGAGGCTTTATGAAGAGGAAATGAGGATGATAGAGGAGCGAGAAAGAATAGCAGAGCTTAGAAGATATGAAGCATTAATCAGACAAGAGAGGGAGGAAGAAGAACGCCAGAAAGCAAAGAACAAAATGAAGAAGAAAAGGTCTGAGATAAGAGATGATTATTTAGAGGACTCACGTGCACGAAGATTAGACAAAAGGATGCCAGAAAGAGATCGGGGTGCAAAAAGGAGGCCAGTCGTTGAATTGGGAAGGCATGGTGGAGAATCTACCCCAGCAACAAAGCGCCGTAGAGGGGGTGAGGTAATATGTTCATGCTTACATTCAAGTACTTATAATTCATTAAATTTTTCCCTCGCACACAGCACCCATATTACCACTGGTTGTGCACTCATTCTACTCTGCCTGCACTTGGGTGAAATTTAGTAATAGATAAGTAATCTCAGTCCACCAGCTATAAATTGCAACTGTTTTTTCTTTTAGAATTAGAATCCTTTTCCAGTAGGTTCAGCTTTTACACCAACTTTTAAATTGAGTTGGTGTAGTATTTTTAGATCGCGTGATTATTTGTGCCTTTGCTGGTTAGGATTCTCTTTGTTCTGCAATGGAGGTAGGTTTGAGACCTTGAAGAAAAAGGATTTTGGGGTGCAAGGTTATCTCACATTGGACATGGGGTGTATTTAGAAACAAAATAATTTTGTAAAGGGGGGTGTATTCAGAAAACATAATAATTTTTCTAAAAGGGGGAGTATTCAGAAAACAAAATTGTTTTGTATAACATTTTTAGGCCTCGTTTGTTGTTTGGGATTGGCTTCATTTGGATAATTCACTAGATTCGGATAAAGTTAAATAAAAATATGAATGCCAACTTGCATATTTTGTCCAAGTGAAGGTGGAAGATGGACCCCTCATAATTCCCACAAAAATGTTTGGATTGAGAGGGACAAGTTTTCTTTACGACTTCTCCATTGTCTACCTTCACTTGGACAAAGTATGCAAGTGACGTCAATTTTTTTATTCAACATTCATTGAATCTAGTGGTTACCTAAGCCAAGCCAATCCTTGACAAAAGAGTCATTTCATGTTGGGGCATACAAGTCATTCAACATTAAAATTTCAAGGGGTGTATTTAACAAATTGTGGAGTGCTGAGTGTCAATAAAACCACCTTTTTTTTTAATTTTATTTTATCTTAGCCGGTCTACATACCAGTGACATTTAGAAATTGTTTTAGTACAAACCGTTGTAATTTTGTTCTTAACTTTTTATACAGGTTGGTCTGGCAAACATCTTAGAGCGTATTGTAGAAACCCTCAAAGATCGAATTGAAGTATCATATCTTTTTCTAAAACCTGTATCCAAAAAGGAAGCTCCTGATTACTTGGACATCATAGAGCGCCCCATGGATCTGTCTACAATCAAGGAGAAGGTGAGGAAAATGGAGTACAAGAGCAGGGAGCAATTCAGGCACGACGTGTGGCAGATTACTTATAATGCCCACAGATATAACGATGGACGCAACCCAGGCATACCTCCCCTTGCAGATCAGCTCTTAGAGCTTTGTGACTATATGTTGGTTGAGAACGACGAAAGCTTGACTGAAGCCGAAGCGGGCATTGAATATGTAGATATCTAGATAAATTGATTCTAATTTTATCGGTCATTTCTTTATTTTCTGAGAAAAAATGCCCCAGTTTTGCTGGAGCATTTTTTTATGTGTTGGGGAATGGGGATCAAGTGACGGCTTTGAGTTCGTCTCACGTCAGGAGGGATCGAAGAAAGAAACAGTCGCCCTCCGAGTGCACGGTAAAATTGTGATTGCCGGTTGAAATCTGTGTTTATGTTGTTCAGTAGCATTTGGTTGCGAAATTGTATTAGTTGTACAGTGCAATGCTTAAAATTTACGATGATGTATCACTACTTCCTTTGAAATGTCGGTTTTCGGAGTGCCGGATTCCGGCTTGTGCACATTTGCACGGAGGCGTTCTTTGCACTTGTTGACTTGACGACTTCAATCGCATTATCTTCGAAATGTAATGGGATCACAATCTAAAAGTACAGCAAACTGGGTAAGAGCATTTTCATCAAACAGGCTGCAGTAAATTTCTGCCTTAGATTGTTATGGCTGTATTGAAGTGTTTTTAAAATGGCTGAAAACGCTTTTGATGAAAATGTTTTTGGAATCTATCTTAAGTAAAATAAAAATGAATCATGGAAATGCATTTGAAGTGCTTTTGAAACTCTAAAACATGATCTTTAAAAGTGTTGTCATTCCATTAGCCTACTTTACACAAATCAAGGGTCTTGTCTCTCTCTCTCTCTCTTCAAGAGTCCGAATATCCAAATCCTTGCCTTCGACACTCTATGTAGACCAGTGGAAAAGAAGAGAGAGCCTTCTTTAAGAGTATTTGAATTGAGAGGTTTGAGGTTTTAGGTTTCATATTTTAGGTTTACTTGTAAGCGAGAATTTTTAGATTGATTATAATTTGAGGTTTTAAGTTCGATTCTAGCCAAAAGCGAATATGAACCACATTATTGCTAACCCGTTGTGAGGTTTAACTCACCTCTTAAAAATTTGAGATGAGATCTACTTGTATTGGTGGGCACCACCTTTATTAGAGAAATTATTCTAATTATATCTACAAAACATATATTTTATTAGCCACACATTAAGTCAATTATAATTAGATTTGAACTTGCCATTTTTTCTTAAAAAAAGAAAACAACTGGTAACAAACTGCGGTTATCCTTCTTTTCAAACGGCCGAAAAGACTCACAGAAGTATTTTAAAACCGTAATACAAGAAGCTGTGGAGGGACAAGTTGATTTACATAGTTACAAGGCCCACTAAAACAGATAGCAGGCCCAAATGGTCACCGATTAGATTGATTGTAAGATTGATTGGACGTACAAAACCCTAAGCAAAGAGAAGCATCGAGAAGCAGCGAGAAAAGAAGAAAATGGGAGTGGAGAAGGAAGTTGTGAGGGCTGGAAGCGGTGCCAAACCGTCCGTCGGACAGAACGTCACCGTTCACTGCACTGGCTTTGGTTTGTCCCTTCATTCTTTTTCTCTCCTAATTTCCCCACTAATCCAACTAAAAACCATAAAATCAAAATTCTAATTTTATAATTTTTTTTATTTGCTTAATGATTGAATGATTAATTTTACTGTCCTCATCGCAGGAAAAAATGGCGATCTGAGTCAGAAGTTCTGGAGGTAAGACTTTTATTTTTGTTTTTACTTATTTTTTAAATTGTTTTCCCTATTTTTTATTATTTATTTTATTTTATTTATTGTTGGTGGAAAGAAAAAAAAGGGAACTTTAACGAAAAGTACTGTTTATCTTAACGAAAAATCACATTTTTACACTAAAAAGTCATAGTACTATTCATTTTACCCTTTATTTTGTCCTTATCATTAAAACTCAAGGTTTTCAAGCCATTTTCATTAGTTTTCCTAAGAAAAAATGGGTAATCTTCTTTTTTGAGGCTTGTATATATTTTTTTCTTCTAAAAAATTAGTTATTTATATTTTTTGTTTGCGTTTTGTAGCACCAAGGACCCTGGGCAGCAGCCTTTCAGCTTCAAAATAGGCCTGGGATCTGTTATAAAAGGTAACTAACTACTTTTGTGTATATGTGTGTGTCTATATATATATATATATATATATATATATATATATATATATATATATAGAGGAATTCTTTAAGGGAAGGGATCTTCATTTTTCTATAAAACTGTGGATTAGTTGTGAGGTTCACACACATCGAACTTTAATGATCTGAACCGTCTATATTTCAAATTGCACCTTATAAATCATCCCTGCAAAATTTTAGCCAAATCAGAAATATTTAAGATATATATTCGGGTTTAAAAAAAATCAATGTATAATTTGTTATATAAGGAACAATAAAATTTTATTTTAAGAATTAAATAGGCAAATTATTTCAGATTGAATTGAATTTTGACAAAGATGATCTATAAATCGAGACTTACAAAATAGACGGTTCAGATTGTTGAAGTTCGATGTGGAATGGGCCCCACACCTAATTCTCATTTGTTGAAAAAAAATGGGAATCCCTTTACATAAAGGGCATATATATATATATATATATATATATATATATATATATATCTATAAATCGAGACTTACAAAATAGACGGTTCAGATTGTTGAAGTTCGATGTGGAATGGGCCCCACACCTAATTCTCATTTTTTTGAAAAAAAAATGGGAATCCCTTTACATAAAGGGCATATATATATATATATATATATATATATATATATATATATATATATATATATATATATGAGGAAGAGGAGGCTTTGTCGTCGGGCTCCTCATAGATGATGTTAGGATCGGCTGGCTCATCCTTATCCGTATTTAGCTACTGATTATGGTACACAATTTTCATTGTTCACACACACGTGGATTGGTGGATTGCTCATGGTTGGTGCGAACTAGATGAGAATCATTCTCAACAGAGTCCATAAGAAGTGTGTTTATATATATATGTGTGTATATATGTGGGTGTATCTATGTATGCATGTTTATTCTTTTCAAGTTGTTTATTTCTTTTTCACTTCCTTTGTAGGATGGGATGAAGGTGTTCTTCAAATGCAAGTGGGAGAAGTTGCTCGTCTGCGGGTATGTTCATCTTCTGTGCTACCAAAAATTTGTGCTCTATGACTTATCAAATAGTTTTGATTTACGTTGAAGTTTCTTGTAAATTGTTATAGTTGAATCGGAGAAGGAACCATTTGGCATGATGTTAATGACTCATTTGGAAAACTTTGAAGTGCCCCGTATGTGTGTCATAATGATCTTTTGCATTTTTTAGCAATAAAATTCTATAAACATGTCATGCTATCATAATTCTTGTTTCATTTATTTCGCTCGTCTAATACTAATAGTCCTGCATTGTTTTGTATATACCTTTTAATACAATGTTAAGTAGTCAAATACTCTATGACCGATGTTTTTAAAGTAAAAGAGTTGATTTCCCTCTTGACCGATTTACCTTTTAAGACACTGAATTTGTGGCTTCATAAAGTTCTTTATATTCCCTGATTGATATGAATTCCTCTTGTAACCGTATGGTCTCAGACCCCCGTGTCATAAATCTGTGGTTTCCATGGGCGATATGGCATTTCTAAATTAGTGATCTAAGATGTAAGAAGCTAGGAATGTGTTGTGCCCTTATTTTCATTTGGTATGCATTCATTTAAAAAATCTGGATCTGGAAGGAGATCTAAACATTAACACATCTCACACTCCTTGTTGATGGCTTTGCAGTGCTCTCCAGATTATGCATATGGCAAAGATGGATTTGCTGCATGGGGGATACAACCTCACTCGGTTCTGGTTTTTGAGATTGAAGTCCTGAGTGCGCAGTAACATCCGGGTATGGAGTTGACCATCCCGCATATCCTTATGGTTATACTAAGATATAATTACGAACATCCGTATAACCTCCGTGACCTCTTTCGTTGTTAAAATTTGGCGGATATATCCATATGGTTACCCTACGAATAAATTCTCGTTGTGCCCTGTTATATCAGACATGTTTTAAGGGTTAGTTCTATTGCAATGTTACGAAATGCCCTTTGTTTGGAGCATGGTATGATCATTATGGTAGTTGCTTGGAAGCTGAACCCTGAGTCATTTCTTTAGTTCTTAGATTAGTTGCTTCAGTGATTCTCATTCCTGTTTAGGCATGTTTACTTACTGTTTCTGTTACGAAAATTATACCTTGTCGTTTAGGTACCATTTGGTACGTGGGATGGGATGGAACTGAGTGAGACGAGGCGTTCCGTCCCACGTTTGGTGCGCCTAAAACGGATGGAACGCGTTGTTTCACGAGACGAGTTTTGGGTGAATTTTCGTTCCGCCTTACCCCTTTGGAACGTCTCGTTCCACATCCGTGGAACACAAAATTATAACATTTCTTTCTCCTTCTTCCTCCTTGTTTCCATCCGAGAGCATCTTTGCTCATTCTCCGTTCTATCCTGTCCTGTCCTATTTCATTCTGTTCCGTCCCGTCCCGTATGCATACCAAATGATACCTTAGGTATTGGAGTTAGGGCTAGTTTGGTATTGATGTGCTTTGAAAAAAAAGCTGCTTCTGCTGTGCTGTGAGAATAAGTAGCTGTGAAATAAAGCAGCATAGTGTTTGGTAAACTTTTTTGTAAAAGTGTTTTTGAAAAAAAAAAAAACAGTATTATAGTGTTTGGTAAACTTTTATGTAAAACATATGTGAAAAAAAGTCGGTTTTTCAAAGTTGGGGTTTTGCAGTTTTGTGTTTTTGGCTTTTTTAACCTAAAACTGTGAAAAAAAACTGAAACTGAATGTTTACCAAACACAAAAAAGCTCTCAACTTTTTTTGATATCCATTTTTTTCAGAATCAACTTAGTACCAAACCAGACTTTATATTGGGTATGACATGCCTAATTTCAACGTGAGATGCACTTACCTCTTTTTGTTTAGTAATGAGAGTAGGATATGTATGGATTGGGAGCGTTGTTTTTGGTATAAACTTGGATCCTCGGTCTTCTCTCCTCAGATTGCTTGTCAATGGATTCTCGCCCGGACATACAGCCCTCCATTACTTTGGTGCATGTCATGTGGTGAAGCATGGTAAATGCTAATTGAGTGCAAAATCGTATCTCTTTGGTTAATAAGATCCAAAAGGTTAATAAGATGGGGTGAGGGACGGAGGAGTAGGCTAGGTTAGCTAAAAGATGCTTATCCGTTCAAAGGACATAGAAAATGCTCGAGCACTCCAATGAAACCTTCCTTCTAAATTGCGCTTTCATGAACTTCAAATTTTGAGAGAACTCAGCTTCAACTGACATTTGCGACCTGTATAAGACAACCAGGCGAGCCATTCCGGCCATCGCTTCCCCTTCATCATTTCTAACGACTGCAAAGCAACAGGTAAAATTGCACCACATCTGCATTGAGCTTGTATTTACCTTCGAGAGGAGGGATCCAACGCATCTCCTTTCTGATAGCACCACATCGCCCTCTTGTTGAATCTGGTCGTTGTTTTCGATTATCATAATAAAAAATAAAAAACAGTGCGTGAGAAATTAAAAAGAGTAATTCTTAGTTTACTATCCTCAAGTATCGTAATTTTCAAGCTTTATCCATTCCAGTTTCATGTAACACTTTCGTACCATTGTTAGTCTTTTTGTCGAAACTATCATTAAAACTTGACTTGACGTCTATGTGAACAATAGCTGGAAGTCACGTGACATTGTAACCCCACACGTATTAAAAATTATCGTCCTCCCAAATTTAATTGGATCTTTTAGGTTTTGTATTTCAGTGGTAAGGGCAAAAGGGTCATATAGAGGTCGATATAATGTTACCAACTGTCCAACGCATGCGCTCCTTTAGTCTCACCATCTCACTCTTTTCAGCTCCGAAACCGTTCACTTTCCTCTGCTTTTCTGTGCTTACTGTGACCAGAGGGAGCCTGTAAGATTCTTCAGTTCAGATCAGATTTCAGATCCATCCAAGTCCTTTCACTTTGCACTGTAAGTCTGCCATCCTTTCCGTTTCGTTTTTCTTCTTGTTAATCGTGGTGTTTGGTTTCTTTTTTTTTTCTTTCTTGTATTCGTTTTCGATATCCTGTGTTTGGTTGCTGAGAAAATTGAAGACATGGACTTGGAATTTGGATAATTGCTTCTTAAAATTTTGATTCTCTGGGAGCCATGAAAATTGGATTTCTTTCCGTACAAAAATTGAGGAAATTGTTCAAGAAAATAAACATCCGAAAGTTATCGATTTCTTTTATTCTACTTTCCGAACAGAAAGGATTTTCTGATAATTCTCCGATCTTACATATACAATTATATATATGTAGTTTATGTGCAGGTAAATAATTGGTGAAATATCCGTAGGCAAACAATCGTTGGACATCCAGTGAAGAATCAGATAGAACAATATGCCTTGGTTGGGTTTGTCAGTTGACGTCTTTCGTAAAGTTGTGCACTTGAACTTGTATTGGAGGGTTATTCTGTAAATTGCTCGTTCTGATTTCATTGAACTCAACCCTCAAGTTGTTCATCCTTTTGTTGATTTTTCTTCAAGCTTTCATGGGGTCGAATCAGTTTTTCGTTGTGTGTCCCGATATCTATAGAATTAGTTGAAGGTAGAAAGCCAAACCTGTATTTTTCTTCAATCTCAAACCCCCTTTAAGTTTCTCTTCTAGTTTTGTTTGATATAATCCTCACTGTATCGGTCTCTTCGGTTCTCATCTAGCTTGGCCTCTATTATTCTTCCCTCTGGAATCCTCTGGATTGAGTGGTTTCATCAAGGTTCAAGTGTAGTTATGGTGTGTCAAGGTGCAAGCCAGACGAAATTTCGGGCTTTGAAACATGAAAATGGGATGGCTGGAAGACCAACAATTATAGTTAGAGTTATTGCTTGCTTTCAACCTTTGCAGGATTGCCAGGTTAGTATTGCGTAATCAACTTTCAGTTTCTCTCAGTTCCCGAATTTTTGTTAACTGTTGGCATGGTCAGTTGCTGGCCTATTTTCCTTTAAACTATGCGTTTTCTGAGAATGAATTATGCTTACTGGTTTGCTCGGAATTATTTACTCTCATATCCGTAAGAGTTCTGTTATAAGTGTAGACTGTGTAGTTAAACTGTGTTTTTCGATGGTTTTCCGCAGGCTGAGTACTTTCGACAGCTGCTTAAGCCTATTACGTAAATTGGTTCGAGATTTCCTGTCATTTACCAAGCCAGAATTTGTAGTATTTTTTTCCTTTTTGTTTGTAAAGGACCCAGAAAGTAATTGAACGTTGCTGATCAAAGAACTATTTATCTCCTGTCAGGTATTGTAATGTCTTGTTTGTCATTGTAGCTATGATATTCATGGGTCATGCATAACTGATCATCTTTGTTCTGTCTTGTATAGGTGATCCCTTTAGTTGGATGGTCAAGGCGAACAACTCTTTCCCTTTTACACAGCATTCTGCTCGGAAACTGCCTTATCTGAATCGTACGAGCATGTTGCTGGAGCACGTGCAACATGAATGTTTTCCATCATCTACCAACGAGGGAACTTGGCCAGTATCTGGACATATGGCATTGCCAGCGTCTACAGTTTCTGGTATTCGGAGTCTGAATGCTAACGAAGCAAATGAAGACCGTGGGTTGCTTCAATACTTACCGCCACATTTGCAGAACTTACTTCCTCCTCCAAACTCGTATCTTCATGAAAAGCAGTCACCATTTTCTTTTGAATTTGGTGGTGGGATGGCTGTACCAAATGCAAATCCAGGTTCTTCTCAGAAGGGGTTCTTTATTTTCGACCAGTCTGGGAATGAAACAAGGCTAATATACAATTCTGTTTGCCCTCCTAGCCAGTATCCACCTATGGCCAGCGCGAAGCTTGGGTGTGGTTATGATTCACATAAACTGGAACAAACAACCAGCATGGACCAAATTGGTCCAACCAAGTGCTTCTTATTTGAAGAGACCGGTGAGAATCATATAATTGAAGAGAGTGAGATGCATGAAGACACAGAAGAAATCAATGCATTGCTCTACTCTGATGATGATGATGATGATGATGATTGCGGGGAGGATGATGAAGTAAAAAGCACGGGTCACTCTCCATTCTGCCGTCAAGAGAATTATGGAAAGAACGAAGATGTTGAGGAAGTAGCAGAGAAGATGTTTAGTTCTGAATCTGATCCTCCAAACAAAAGACACAAATTGCTTGACGGTGGCTACGTGCAATTATCACCAGTGAAGACTGTCATTAATTCGTTACAACTCGATAAGTCTCATGAGTACGGGAACAATACGGAGTCAAGCAACACTCTTGGCCAGAGCCAAGGAGAGGAAGCAAGTTGGAGTAAGGGTAAGATGAAGTCGAAAACAGACAAGATTTGCGAGACAGTTCGAGTTCTTGAGAGCTTAATTCCTGGTGCTAAGGGCAAGGACCCGGTTTTGATCATCGACGAAGCTATAGACTACTTGAAGTCTATGAAGCTTAAAGCCGAAACTCTGGGAGTGAGTTTCCACTAAGCCACTATGGTCCTTGGATAACCAATGTGTAGCTGTAGCAGAGTGGTAAACGTGGTAAGCCTCAGAATTCTAAAATGCTATTTTCACCGCATTTTTCATACTATGTTTGCACCACTTCTCTAATAGAGATGTGATCTACGTGTCGGTGGATCCTACTTCTGTTAGAGAGTTGATACAGATGTTGAAAAATGTGATGAGTGTAGTATTACTCGATGAATTTGAAATCACTAGAGGTGGGGTCCTTCTCTTAGTATTTAGTAGGATAATGTGGGGCCTAATAAAAAGTAAGAATGATTATGTTTAAGCTTTATTTATGGGGTGGGATTAAAGATAAAATAAGTCACCAGAGATTTGATTTGAAGGCATGTGGGGAAGGAGGGATGATAGTGGTGGGGACTGCTGTTCCCTCCTGTTTTCATCAAAGTGTTGATTTAGTGCATGCGCGCTAGGGTTAGGTGATATCGGGTCCCATCTTCACCTGTCTTTAAACTTTTTTTTCTGGTGATGGAAATTGGAATGATGCAGCAAAAGTTTGGGTTTGTTTGTTTTACATATGCTGGCAGTGTGAAAAGAGGAGGTGAGAGAATCTTAGTCCGAAAGTAAATGCAGTTGTACGGTGGGATTTATGGGATGGGTGTGGTTAACAACAAGAGTAGATCTAGGAGTCCTAGTCTGCAAGGAGTGAGTGTGTTATGCTTTTCTGAGTTTGTAGACAAAGTGTCTGTAAATAACTATGGTGTGGAAGAGTTGAATGGATATGGGTTCCGTAGGGAACTGATTTCTGTACGCTCATTTTTCTTTTCTTTTCATTTTACACCTGTTTTGTTTATTTTTGTCTCATAATTTTTATGTATTTGTTTAATTTAAAAGTTTAACTAACGAAGGTATGCCGAGAGAGAAAAGCATACTAAAACTGTCTTGAGAGCAAGGTATAAAATATCGATGATATCGGAAATATCGGTAGTCCAAAAACACGGAAATTTCGATAGAAATATCGGGATATTATCGATATCGATAAAAATTGAATAAAATCACGGAAATTGTAAGAAAAACTTGGAAATTTTTATTGAAATTTTGCAGGATGTTTATTTAGTCAATTATCTATTAGTTTATCACAAAAAATTGGAAGGAAATGCATTGCATGATAGATATAACTGATTTAAGTTGATTATATAGCGAGCTGGCAAACATTGTGAGTGTAGAAAATATGTAGTAATTAATGAAAAAAATTTAAACGCACCATAATCATTTATATATAATGAATTAGTACAATATTTTACACTTTATACATTGCATGATAAGATACATGAGTGACTTAGCAAGGTCTAAAATATCGATGATATTGGAAATATCGATAGTTCAAAAAAATATCGGTAGTCCAAAAACACGGAAATTTCGATGGAAATATCGGGATATTATGGATATTTTAGACTATGCTTGAGAGTACAAACCCAACGCCTAGTTTAGTTTTCCCTTTTGAGTAGACCTAGAAAACGGAACGTGTTTGTGTGTAAATATGTTATTTTAAGAGCTCGTATCGTGTCAAACTTACTATGTTATTGGGTCTAAAAATTAAATCCAAATCCGACCATTAAAATTAACTTGTTACCCGACCTGACCCGATGCACCCATTAAGAACAACACATTACCTCAATAAATAATCAAATGAAAAAAACTTAATAGTTGATATTAAATTTCTAAACATGAACAGTTGAATGCTGAAGTTTGTTTTGATTCAACAATACAATTACCATCAATTCATTAAGCGCTACATCTACATGCCACGTAAATGTTACTTAGAGAGGCAAGAAAAAGGTGGATTTGGACCTCGACGACCTCCAGATGTGACACCGGTGGAGTGGGTGATGGGTGATGCTTAGAGGCGGATAAAAAGGTTGGGGGACAGAGATGGTGTGGTAACGGTGGGGAGGGAATCCACCTGGTGGTGGTGTAAAGTTGTGACTTGTGAACGATGTGGAGACTGAGAAAGGTGACGGCTCATTTAGAGGCCTTTTTTGTATTCCAAATTACCAAAGGAACCTCTCTTTTATGACTCGGGTTGAAATGGGTTATCCGTGAGTAAACCTTAACCAATTCGTTATCTTAACGGGTGTTTAACAGGTTGATCCAAAAACAACTTGGCTTGTAAGTCTAAGTCCGAAATCTTATGTTTTTTATGTTATTTTGTGCCAGGTAAATGTGTCGTGCATGACGTTGTCAGAGCACATTTATTCTTATGTGTTTCTACTCAGTCAAACACAATTTCCATATTTGTAAAGCTCTCACGGTTGAACGAGTAGACTACCTTTCCTTTTAAGTCACGCGAGTAAACTTCCTAGCTTCTTGCTCTTGTGTTGTAGCTATTATCCTAGGTGATATGCCTGGTCACAAAGAACTCGCTCGTCGTAAGTGAGGCGAGCGCGGAGACTATTCTTCTTTCTTAAGATCTTTATTCTCGCACAACATTGGCAAAAAAAAAAAAAAAAAAAGGAGGAAAACTAACGAAAAGTTCAAAAAAACTTTAGTTTGAATGAAAAATGACAAATAGATGTGTAGTAAATAGTACCAGGTAAAGGTAAAAAATGTGGTTTTTTGTTAAAAGTGAACAGTACCGGGGAGCGTTTCGTTAAAACTAAAAAAAAAAAAAAAAGCTTTCACACCAACTTTGCATTTGAAATTGATTTGTTCATGTTTTCAAATTTTGAGCTATCTTAAATCAAATCTAGAAATTGTTCAAATTATAAAACTCACATTGGGGAAAGAAGGCCTTGCATGCGTTTGTAAGTAGTTAGGTTACTCTTCATCTTAACAACTGGCTTTATTATAGAACCTCCACTTTCTTCAAATACACATTGGGTTGGTTCTCTCACCATCTGTTGAGAATGAATCCCACAATGATGGGAGGAAGGGTTTTGCATAGGCTTATAAGTAAGTAAGCCGCTCCCTGTCAATTGGTTTTATGGTGGAACCCCAACTTTTTTCATGGCCTTAAGTAAGTTGTCCTATGTGTGAAGTCCAACAGTTGCATGTTCTCCACGTCACTCCCTTTGTGTGGTTCATATGTTAGGCTTGAAAACTTGACACACGTGAGATGACGTGTTGAGAATGAACCCTACATTGATGGAAGGAGGGATATTATATGGGCCTATAAATAAGGTGGGTTGCTCCTCAAATTACCAATTAATTTATAGTAGAACATCAACTTTCTTCACCATCCATATTAGATGGTCGTCGTTGAGCAACCAAAGATGCCTATGTTAATTGATTAAAATTTGGTGTACTTTTTCCAAATCAGTGGGTGTTTTCATGTCGTCGTTATTTGATAGATATTGTTGATATGTCTTTGATATTTGGTACCAATATGTCAGTATAATGTTGTTAATATGACGTCGATATTAGGTACAAGTATCGTCGTTTATGTCGTTTGAGCGCTTCTGTGTATTGGAGTGGATCATTTTCGACGCATACCATTTATTTTGATGTTACAGACGTTTGATTTAATCAAACATCAACCAATGACTTTACACTTTGATTTAATCAAAGATCAACCAATGACTCTACACTAATGACACAACTTTGGCATGGAACGGTCAGGAAAGACTCAGCAATGCAGTCGCGATTTAAAAAAGCAAAGATGGCTGACTATAAATTTTCTTCTAGCAGCTATGAACTAATAATTATTAACACAATGATTAGAGACGTGGCGTTATAAACACAATACATTACATACTAGTTTTTGCAGAATTGATGCCCAATTGACGACGATTCTATAATTAAGAACGTTTATAACGTATTATTCGGAAATGATCTCATCAACCTATCTTATTTAGGTTGCATTCCCAAATTTTTATCACATGTTAGTATTAAAGAATAATAAACAATAATTTTGTTCATTATACTAACACAAGGTTTGAATTTGACTCACCATATCGAGATGATAATTGAAATTGAAAATCGATCAATGTGGTTCCGAAAAATGAGTGTCGTAGAATCAATATGATCATTCCATCACAATCTGTCAAAATTTTTGTATATACTGATGTGGCACATAACCGAGTTCTACAAGTTTAATTAAAAACTTGAAATATATATATATATATATATATATATATATATATATATATATCTGTTCATCTTCTTCTTCTCCTCCCATCTGACCCGACAACTGCGTATCCTAGCCTTGTCAAATCCATTGACAAAGTCCTCCTCCTCTCCTCAGCCCCTCAAACTCAACTCAAGTGCTCCTACGCACACGGCGTATCCTAACTTGTGTCGACATCTTTTAACTTTCTTGGTCCTCCTTCCTAAAAACATCTCCAACACCACCGACGATAACCTCAAAAGTCTACCATTTGGTCATCTCCTAATCAGCTGATTTTGTTTTCAATTCGCAGGATTATTATTATTATTTCCAAGTATTATTTGTTTTTTTTTTTCGAGTCGTTGACCATAAGAAAAATTCAACATGTTTGAATTTTGATTCCGAGGAAATTCAGATCAAAGCGACCGAAAAAACGACGCAGCTGCTTCCCCTTCCACTATCTGTAGAAATCTGAGATTTCTGATACTTAAAGACGACGGCTTTTAGCTTAAGCTTCTGCCACAAGTGCTTTTCTCGAAAGCCCAAATGCCTTCTTATTGGCTGCGGTTACATGTGCGACCGGGTGGGGTGGAGTTGGGGCTGTAACGGTTGCTCGGATGGGAGCGGGAGGAAGAAGATGAACTGTTCATATTCTTCTTCTTTTTTTTTTAAGTTATTAATTATACAAAACTAAAATTTATTTTTATTATTAAATATTTTTAACTTATAGGGCAATATTTAATTGGACTTGTGAGACTCAGTTTTGTATCACATTAGTACATAACAGAATTTTTGACAGAATTGTATCAGAAGAATCACGTTGATCTGCAACACTGGCACCACATTGATCAATTTTCAATTTCAGAGAATATCTTAATAAGAAATCAATTTCAAGAACCATTTGTGATTAAAACCCTTAAAACAAAAGTGTTGATACAAATAGTGTTCACAATATTTTTTTTTTCTAGAATAAACAATATTATTTACACTAAGGGAGAGATGATAGGCTTAGTCTCATTATGGACTAACAATAATGTGGTTCAAATTTGTCTTTGGTGAGAATCGAGCCTAAGACCTTTCCTGTAGAAGTTAAGAGGAATATCATTAGACTATAGTACTAAATGTTTTGTGTGCAGTTGAATTGACAAAATCAACCTAACTTACTTAAGTTCCCAAATCTATTATCACATGTTAGTAATAAAGAATAATAAACAATAATTTTGTTCGTTATATTAAAACAAAAGTGTGGATGAAAATTAAGTACATAGTTGAATTGACAAAATTCTACCTACATTAAGCAGAAACATCCGCTAACCTATTCATGAACACTGAAAAAAGAGGAGGGTGGCCTCAAAAGGACTCTGATGCTTAATTAAAAAAAAAAGTAGAGAAACTACGAACTTGAGACAGTTAAGAGAAATAAGTGACTATGTATTGAGAAATGAACCTCTCACATATAAGTTGATACACTGATTATGCTTTATTTCTGATGCGGTGTTTTATCCTCTAACACCTATTTCTATATATGTTCACTGTTGAAAAATCCAGACCACATATCACATCACATCAGTAACTGAGTTAACGGAATGAAAAAAATGAAATACAAAAAAGAAACACATAAAATAAAGTGAGACCTAATAAAGCGTAGCTGAAAATAAATCAAACATTAATAAATTCTACTTTCCTAAGTTATAAAATTTGGTACATTCTGTGATGCCGTGCTGGTCATGATGATTGACCATTTTACTAAGCTGTCTTTCTTCTGCTCGACGGCACGACGTATTTGATACATGGACCGATTTCATCATGAAGGAAAGGGAAAAATGCATGCATTGATAACTTTAAAAGTTAGGCACTCAATGGAATACACTTGATATGGACAACTTGTTTGCTCCTTAATTAGTGGTGCCGCCAAGCTTAATACAAATGTCCAAATTTATTAGGTCGTGAACCTTAATAGATACACAACAAATCTTAACTTGACATGTTATGTTATAAAATAATTAGCCTCTTGCTATACACGTAGCCGTGTGACGATTTACTTTGTTTTATTATTTTTAACTTTAGATATATTTTGAAAAATAATCGCGTGATCATTAACATTCTTACTACGTGAATTTTTTTTCAACTTTTTTGTTACTTTCTGAAATCTAATAAGAGAAAGATAATTTAAATTGGGCGGTGCTATTTAAATACTCTATTTACTTCCCGCACAATTTTTTTAATTTCCGACCGAACTAATAAAAAGGAAGGTGTGGTTAGCACCACCCTTTAAATATTATAAAACTACACCTGTTTGACATTTTCATAAGAGAGAGGATCCTCGCCGGATCATCTTTGTGAGGATCTTGGGGATCCTCCAATTATATCGGTTTATTGTGCATCTTGCGGTCAATTTTCGTCAAGTATTGTTTATATTCAATTTTAAATAAAAAAATTTATAATGATTTCTGATCGCACGATATACGATAAACGAATATGATTTGAAGATCCCCAAGATCCTCACTCTTTTCATAATTATATGCCGGTTCAATACCTTTAACTACTAGAATATTATGTGGAACTACTTTTCACCGTTTCGTTTAGTTTAATAGCTAAAGAAGTTTGTCAAAAAAAAAAAACATAGCTTAAGGAGCTGTATTCCGTGATTAACGGTTATAAAAAACAAGACATTAGGACGCAACAAAAAAAGGCATTTGGACTCTTTACTTTCCTTTTTTCTATAAATATATCAATATAATATGTTGACGTGACTTAATAATAATGATCGTTCAAATAAGAAGAGGCTGGGTGAAGGAGAATTTGAAAAAGAGAAAATCCTACTCCTCTACAACAAGACGTGGAGCATTAAGAACTTTGTATATGCTTATAAAAAAAAGTCAACTATTATACATCTTCATTCTAACACATTCAAAGCGTGAGTCCTATTCACTCACTGTCTATTATAGGGATAAATATGTAATTTACTGTTCTTTCGTAACATTTGGTATATACTTGTGTAAAAATCCAATTCATTTTTAGTATAATAATATGTTTACCATTTTTAATATACAAATGTATAATCAATATAAAAACAATGACTAAAACCTATAAATTAACTAAAAATGAACATGATAAAAATACAAAGGTACATAAGTTTAGTAAATAACTATAAAAAATTAGAACATTTCAGAAAAAATCAGATCGAAATTAAAAATCTCAAAATGCATTCAAAATTGCATCCAATTTTTTCAGAAAATGATCCAATTTGGAGTTAAAATTTAAACGGCTTAATTGAAAATTCCAATCCAACTTACACCCATACATGCATAAGTGATTCTAAATTTTATATTTGAACATTATCGAACTTATTGAATCCAACTATCTTCTCCAGCTTTGTCAGATTAAACCCGGGTCATGATCTTGGGAAGTTTGTTGATGGCTCATGTGATACTTCCAAGGGATGTGTGATTGTCTCCAAAAGCACTTTGCTCAATGATGCGTTACTTATGGAGCGAATCTCTACTTTCAACTTCTTGATTTATCCAAAGGCTCTCATAGTACGTATTAATGAGTATTGAAATTGAAGCCAAACTCAGCTTTCGACAAAGGGTTGTCCAGTTTGCCAAGGTGTTAGCCAAGTATATTCTAGAAGGGCTCAGTCTCACGTACAATTCCAACTAAAAAAACTTCTTTGGACCATTTCGTTGAACATTATATAGGAACATACCAATTCTTGCTATATGTCGAGACTTCTCAAGGGTGGCTACAGGAAAAAATATGGTAATGTTAAAGATTGTCAAGGCTTGTCAATTGAGGTATTTCATCAAGTATTTAGTTAATGTACACAATGGGAGGAGGAGGTTGTAATTAGTAGATTTTTGAAGTTGTTGGGGGATCATGGACAACCAATGATCACATGCTGGCTTCACCACTGAATACAGTACTCTTGATATAATTATATTGCATTGTACACGATTATCTACTACAGATTTCTATACTTCTTTCTATAGTACCAGATAATCGTAGCCTTTGTAGGTAGATTAAGGTTAAAAAAGCCTTTTTGTCATCATATAATCTTTAATTCATTTTAACAAAGTCAAAAATTTAGGATTAAAATACCTAACCAGATAATAGTGGTTTACTATTGACCATCAGAACAGAAGCCAATTTGGAAATCATGACCATGGCGGTCCATTGAAATTTCAAACCATACGTGTCCTCAAGAGAATCATTTATAGTACAATATGAATTTCTAGAAACCCTAGCTGCAAATTTCATTGCCTATAAATATGCCCAACTATCTCAACTTTCATTTATCATTTCATCGCTCGCTTCTTCATTGGTCCTTAGTTCCTTACAAAAAAAAATGGCTATCTATCCTAGAAACAATTACCTCCTAAGCCTCATTGCAGTGGCATTTGTAGCAGCAGGAGCCCTGTTGCCCACAAGTGTAACAGCGCAAACTTCTGTGGGTGATATTGTCACTCAGGCATTCTTCGATGGGATCATCAACCAGGCTGCTGCAGATTGTGCTGGCAAGAACTTCTACACACGGCAATCTTTTCTTGATGCTGTGAACTCGTATTCCGACTTTGGCAGCACCGGTTCGGCGGATGACTCCAAACGTGAAATTGCAGCTTTCTTTGCTCATGTCACCCATGAGACTGGCCGTAAGATATTCCTATTTATTCTTTTTACCTCCAACTATATAATATTTATAAAAGCAAAACAAAAAAGATACAGTTGAATTAATTAAGTAGTTAACGTCCTAATTAACGTGCAATTATACTAAATCTTTGTTTTGTATTCTTCTTTAAATATTATCAGACTTCTGCTACATAGAAGAGATAAATCGTGACACATACTGCGATACAAGTCGAACAGATTATCCATGCAACCCTAACAAACAGTACTACGGACGTGGACCTCTCCAACTAACATGGAACTACAACTATGGAGCTGCTGGAAACAGCATTGGTTTTGACGGCTTAAACTCACCTGAATCCGTGGCCTCCGATCCCGTCCTTGCATTCAAGACTGCATTGTGGTTTTGGATAACCAATGTCCGTCCTGTTATAAGTCAAGGATTTGGAGCCACAATTCGAGCCATTAATGGTGCTGTGGAATGTGATGGTAAACAGCCTGCCCTAGTTCAAGCCCGCGTCAACTATTACACTGATTATTGCTCCCAGTTTGGTGTTGATCCTGGCACTAATCTCTCTTGCTAAATTATAATTATAATTATTAGCTTACTTGTATGCTTCGAACGAATAAATAATGCAGCCTAAAAGAATACGAATAAATTCCAAGCCCCGTGGAATAATTAAGGAGAGGGCTACCTCCTGTTGTGTAGTCCACCAAATAAATTACAAAAATAAAGATCATCGTGCTCAGAAGGTTGGCCTCTTTCAGATATGATCTGATTGAAATGTAATCCTATAATTAATTCTTTTTATGCCTGAGAATCAACCATTCCATTGCAATTAATACATATCATAAACATCCCCATTTCTTTGTTTTATATAAACTGTTATTCAACAATAAGATTTGAGAGTTTACTCCAACAAGCCAATGCACATGACAAATTGTCAAAACTCAACATTCGAGTTTTGACTCCAATTATTTTTTCTCCAATACAAAGAATCACACCAAAATGGTCAAAGCCACCACGCTTTTGAATTTTTCTTTTTAAACACCATAATTTACTTAAGTTCGCCCCAAATTTTATTTACACTTACTTAAAAACTTTGAATTTTAACTTTTCTAAGAACAATACATTTGTTACCCAAATGCCCTTAAACACCAACACGCCACAGCCACAAACCCTAACTTTAACTTGAAATCTAATTGTTTTATATTTGATTCAACACTACAAGCAAGCGTTTTCAAGTGTATTTTTTTTTCTTTCTAGAAAGTTATTGCTGCCAACAATGCATCCATGCTAAATGCAATTCTAAAAAACATAGGAATTAGTGTACCGAAATGTCTGTACCTAAATATCTTATAGTGAATTAGCGGCACATAAGAAAATGTGCAAAAACATAAGTGTACCGAAAAATTCCATACCTAAATATATGATATTAAACTAGTGTACCGAAATGTCAATACCTAAATATATTATACTAAACTAGGGTACCGAAATGTCTGTACCTAAACATATTATATTAGCCTAGTGTGCCAAAACGTTTGTACCTAAATATATTGTAATGAATTAGTGGCACATAAGAAAATATGCAAAAACATAAGTGTACCGAAAAATCCGTACAAAAATATTTTCTTGTATAAGTTACTTACCATAATAAGAATTAAAATTTATAATATTTTCATAAAATTTAATTTGAACACCATAAAATTATAAATAAAAAAGAGAGACATTGAATACATATATTGGCATTAAATAGAGTCTAGGGACTAAAATTAATTTTTAATATTGTATAAGACATTTTTCTCAACTTCATCTTATTTAAGGATTATAATCTAGTTTTCAATAAAAATATTATCATAAGTTAAAAAGTTGAAATAATATGTTCTATGTTGTCTTTTCACACAATGAAACATTAAGACAAAATTAAGATTATGTGGTGGAGTGAACTTAGATGGGTGGTATTTCCTTTTTTAAGAAGAGAGACAACTAGTTGTAAGTCATGATTATTTACCATTTTGGGTCTAGAGAGGCTATAACAATAATGACTAATATAAAAGGACAATATGGATATTCTAAGAATATAAGTTTTGCATTATGGATATTCTTAAAAGCTCCTAACAATAATGACTGATATACAAGGACATCTTCAAGTGGTTTATAAAGAGCTCCTAAAACATGTTATTATTGTTATTTTTAACTAAAATGTAAAATAAAATAAAAAATGATTGGAGATGCTCCAAGTGTATAAGCGTGTGTTTTTAAGTACTTCAAAAATGACCGAGTGCACTTTTAATGAAAGGATTTTTAGAACCAAGTCTTGGTTAAAATACAAAAGAAATCTGGAAAAGACCTTGAAATACTTCCTGCAAGAAGTATAAATTGATGCTTCTTGTCAAATGCAGTTTAAGTGCTTTTGGAATTTAAAAACACTTTTATTAAAACTGTTTTCAGTCATTATAAAAACACGTCCAAACATGCATCGATAAACCCATCAACTACCTTTTATTCATCTGTTAGTAATCTTTCTGATGTCGAAAAATGTTTCCTTTTTTTATTAATACAATTATATATTTACATTAAGAATGAAAGATTCTGTCATAATAAATTGACATATAACAACTATAAATACAGTGCATAGCTCGACCACTTGTTTCCTGTGGCTGCGGGTGGCTTGTAGTTTTGTAAGTGTAGTTTGGACCATGATCTGGTCTTGTAATTGCAGTTTGGACCATGATCTGGTCTATCGTGGTTGGGACTCGGTAGCTATGTAGATAGTCTAAGACATGATTAAAATTAAAAAAAAACTAATAAAAAATACTTGAAAACTTTGAGTTTTAACGATAATGACAAACTAAATGATAAAGTGCATAGTACCAGGATTGATTTTTTTAGTGTACAAATATGGTTTTTCGTTAAAGTAAACAGTACCAGAAGCTTTTTGTTAAAATTTCCAAACAACTAAATCAATATATGCAAGTAATTAGAGCAAATTTAGGTCTTCAAACAGGATGCTTGCTACGCCGGCTTAAAGTGTAAGTATAGGCGTGAGTTGTAGATCTAAATATAGTCAAGTTGGCCACAGTCCTCCTCCTACACATAATTTCGAATCACCATTTCAATATATTTAAAGAAAAACTAATGAAAATGGTTTGAAAACTTTGAGTTTTAATGATAAGGACAAAATAAAGGGTAAAGTAAATAGTACCAGAATTGACTTTTTAGTGTAAAAATATGGTTTTTCGTTAAAGTGAACAGTACCAGGTGTTTTTCGTTAAAGTTCCTTATATTTAAACTAATGAGTGAGAAGATTAAAGCGGTATTGAACTCGCCATTACAAGATTCAAACCTATATAGAAACTTTTATAAAATGACGCTCTAGACAACATGAGTTGGTCTTTGTTTGTTTGTTTTTGTTTTTGTTTTTTTGTTTTTTAACAAAAGATATATCTATACTAAGGGGATGGGGGAGTAAGCTAAGCATCACAATGAGCTAGCAATAATGTAGTTCAAATTTGCCTTTGGCAAGAATAAAACCTAAGACCTCTCACTTATAAATGAAGAGAAATACAACTCTAGATCAGAATACTAAGAGGTCCTAAGTGACGAGTTGGTCTCTGTTATAACTTATATATGCTTGTCTTCTTTGTTTGCCGAAATATTTATGGGGACCAAAGTATCAACCTTTATCTTCTCCATTTCAATCCCGACCATAACTGGACAAATCATGCCATTGGCCAGGCATACATACAACCCTGCGTTTCAAGGGGTGAAGATCTGTTCCAAGAAAATATGTTGGGACACTGGATTTTCATTTTGGTTGCAGAGATGAGTGTGAAGATGAGAAGATAAAGGGAAATTATCTTTAGGCATTTTCATCCTTCAATCCGTCATTAGTGTCTTTCACATCCTTGTTTCTAATTCAACAACTAAAGCTTGAAAAATTCCCAGAAATATTTGTCAATCGTTTACCCATGTTGGTTCTCTCACTGCCTAAAAAACAACTCTGTAACAAGGACGCTCAGATGAGTAAGGCAAACATCATATATGAACCGAAGATCACCAACAGCAACAAGCTGGGCAATCAAACAGCCACTGGATCTGCCTGCCACACTATTTCTTCATGGTCCTCTCTCCAGTATAATACTAATAAATAATATAAAAAGGGATGTGATATCCACACACCCCATTTTACTTCTCACACCCCTTAATAATTTCTGTCTGTTGATCTTCTTCAATTCATCTGATCCGACGGTTGAAAATTAAAAAGGTGTGTGAGAAGTAAAATGAGATGTGTGGATATCACAACCCTATAAAAAACAACCAAAACACACTATAACATGTTAAAAGGGAGGGCAGCGAGAGCTTAGGTAACCCCCGGCTGGTGGTGGTTGAGGCTAATAACTATTGGTGGCTGGTCAGCCGGTGTGGCGACAGTGGTGCAACAGATGGAGGAGAGGGTAAGAGAAGGGCGATTGGGAATCATGGTGAACAGAAAACGATTTTAAGTCAAAATACAATAACCAGAAACGTATTTACCCTAAGGACCTTGATCACATACCAAAAAAAGAAGAGAAATGTTGAAAATTTGAGACTAAATTATAACTTCTTATGCTAACAATATGTTACAAGCTGCTTCAATACTATAACAGAAATTCGTACAAAACTTTCACTTTAAACCACCAACAGTTTTCATACCAAGGTATTTGCTTCTACATATTTTTCCACAGCTTCGTTTTGGTCTGACAAAAGAACACGCATGCACCTTCTTTTCTTTTGGTCAAATTCATACACGTTTGGGTGGTACGTATTGCACCTGCTCATCTTCACACAAATTCTGCAAAACGAGAAAAGAAAAATTATTCAAATCAGCTGAGACATAATGTGATTGATCAATGAAAAATAAAAGGCAAAAAGGAACCATAACCCATAGGCAAAAAATGATAAGAATCAGCAGTAATTTCGTTGAAGCTCCTATTCCCGAAGTAACAAGATTGGAAGGAACTAGAGAAGGATTTTTATCTTCCACTACACTACTTATACGATCTTATGTCCTAGAGTTACCCCAATTCTGCTTTATTGGTAATTCTATCAATGAAACCATCACTATGAATGGGGCCATTGAGTATAAACTGCAGAGAATCCATGGTATTAAAAAACAGAGAACAAAAGAGAGCCTTTTTTATATGCTTTACGACCCACAGACTGGCAAATAAAAGAACAAACATGAGCTCGAACAACAGCTCAATGTCCAAAACCCAAATCATAGTCTCTTCAGGGTATTTTATTTTCCTATGTTTTCAACTTCAACCAGTGATAGAAAGAACATATTACAAAAGCTAGTCGTATTTGACTGATTTGCTAAGTGCACTTCAATTCCCTTACTCCCAATGTCTTGTATGGCAGACTTTTACATTCGTTTGAACGATATGGTAGCTAACTAGCTATTGGACAGGATGCCAACCCAAAAGCTATCATAGATCGAATTTCGAATGGCATGGATTTATTGATCGACCATATAATTAACATAGCAATTGTAAAAGTATGATTGTCCACTATGGAATATAATGGAACTTTGTATGATTAACATCGGAAAGATATTGAATTACCCGCAAATCCTCTGAAAGAACCTCTGAAACGGCAAGAGTGTAAACACCAGGTACAAATCTTCCTGTAAAAGATTAAAATCCATACCGAATTACCGATAAATACATATAAAATGGCAAGTTGTATGCATAATCTAGAGCATTGAAAATGCTTAAAAGCAAACAAAGTGGAGTCGGATTTAGAAGCTTAAGGGTGAATCAGATATCGTGTTAAAAGAATGCAAATAAGAGACATAACAAGATGACATATGCCCATGAAAAACAAAACAGAACCTAACGAAACGTAAAACGGGCAACGAAAGGAGAGCAGAAAATATTTGTATGAACCCAACATTTCACATGAACCCAATAGTTTAGAAAGAACTAAGTAACTTTGTAACGAGTTTTTATGCATAAATGCGAGCTGAAAAAAGCATACCAAGTCGAAGCCATTTTGCAGCCCAACTCCTAGTTGGATCCGTAACTGAAATAATCCTGCAATCCAAGCAATGCATTGATCAAATTAAAGAAATAGAGAAAAAATAGAGAAGATTAAACAGAAAAATGCGAGAGAAACGTAGTACGGAGGGAGGGAGGACGAACCCATTGAAATTGGGGGTGGTGCAATCGGCAACACGATCGAAATCTTCCTCCATCTTGAAGAAGGGGCAGTTCTCGCATCCTGATTCTCTGAACTGCATTTTGTATTTTGTATTTGTATCTTTAATTGCATTTGTTTCTTAAATTCGTAAATCGAATCTGTGGGAGAGCTAAAAGCGAAACCCTAACCTGATCGTAGGTCTTGACGAGGCGGCAACGGAGGCAAGCCCTAAGCTCGTGGCCGAAGCTCGTGGGTATCTGGGCTGGTTGTACGCTTCCCATCTCTCTCTCTCTGTCTCTCTTTCTTTCAGATGATTCTGCTCTCTATTGATCTGATTCAATTTCCGTACAATTGACTGCTACTAATATCAACTTTCTTTTTTTTGGTCATTACTAATAATATCAACTTATATTTGAACATTTTGATTCCCCACCGTCCTTCAAGATTATTCCAGAAATGTTAAAAGTTAGGGTAAATTACACAAAACTACTTTAACTATTGAGCCAGTCACAATTTCATACTCCATCTTTAAAAAATGTCAATATCATACCTGATCTACAAATTTATTACAATTTCATAACTTCCTTCAGTTGTCTGTCAATTCTTTCGTTAAATGCTGATATGGCTTGAGGTGAGACCCATTTTTTATTAAAAAATTAATTAAATATTAACTTAAAAAAATAAAAAATAAAAAAAACCAAAAAACCAAAAAAGAACCAAACCCACCTTCTTCCTATCCCACCCGTCCCCCCCACCCTTCTTCCCTTCACTCAAGAACCCCACCACCGCCTCTCTTCCTCCATCTCCTCCTCCACTAACCTCCCCACACCTCTCCCCTTTTCTCTCTCGGTCTCTCCCCTTCTATTCTAGTCTTCTCTATCCTCTTCGACTCTCTACACCCATAGCAAAGAATGGAAGAGCGAGAGGCCAAATGTGGACCCGACCAGGTTCGGGTTCGAGGAGGGCGATGTAGACGGCGTCGGCGTTGACGACCCAAAATGCGATTTGTTTTGTTGACAGCCCAGAACGGCGACTGCTTAGGAAAGTGGGATGCGATTTGATTCTTGATGGGTTTGGAGGTGATGAAATTTTGGTTTTGGATTTGATTTTTGGGGTTCTGGGGGTGGGATGATGACATTTGATTTTGGATTGGGTTTGATTTTTTGTTTGAGGTCTGATGGGATCAGTGCCGTCGAACGGTTGATGAATGGGGAAGGAGATAGTTAGGTTCTGATGGCGGGATAGACTGGTTTGGTTCTGATGGTGATTTTAAGGTCTAATGGCTGGAGGAGGAGGAGATGGAGGAAGAAAGGCGGCGGTGGGGTTTTGGAGTGAAGGGAGGAAGAGTGGGGGGGGGGGACGGGTGGGATAGGAAGAAGGTGGGTTAGGTTTTTTGTTTTTTTTAATATTTAATTAATTTTTTAATACAAAGTGGACCCCGCCTCAAGCCACGAGGAATTGACAGACAACTGACGAAAGGTATGAAATTGTAATAAATTCATAGATGAGGTATGACATTGACATTTCTTAAAAATGGGGTATGAAATTGTGATTGGCCCAATAGTTAAGGTAGTTTTGTGTAATTTACCCTAAAAGTTATTATATTTCAACTTTCTTGTTTTTATCGACATGAATGACATTCTCAAAATTAGTGATTAGTTAAATTCATGTTAGTAAGTCTAATGTCTTTTTTAGTAGTTAACAATAAGATTTTGAAACGAACTAGGCATGTTAATTTTACCAACCAAAATTTGTTGATTCGTACCAAAAGAAAAAAAAAATTTGTAACAAGAATGTCGAAAGTCCTACACTGTTGTAGGCATAATTTACTGAACAATTATGGAGGCCAGAGAGAGAGGGAAGGTGCATCATAAAGACAGAAAGAAAGAGATGTGTAATTGTGGGTGTGTTCTATTCCATCCTATTGTGCCTTTATTTATAGTAGTAGGGAAGGTTAATTCCTACCCTTTTAGGATTACAACTCTTAATAGGTAATCAACTCCTAATAGGAATATAAGAGATATTCCTAGATTCACTAGGATTTACATAATTACATAGGCCTCTGCTGAAGTAGAGCAATACCTTTTGGTGCATCTCTGCCGAAGCAAAGCATACCCTTTTATGCATCCCTGCTGAAGCAATACATCACCGTTTGGTAGGCGTTGATCGAACTGGGTCGATCCATTCGATAGACTTCAGTCGAATTAGGTTCATACCTTTCTCTCACGTTTGTGGTAGTAATCAGATCTGAGAATTTGGTAAACTTCCACTTTCTACATTGCTGCTTCAGGGGTGAGTTAGAAACATGGAAGGACGAGAAAAGTATTCTCTAGTCAAAATTCGATCGGATTTATAAACTTCAGAATTGTACTCATTCATGGACGTAATCATGGTGTGCTTCAGGCAATGTCTTTCATGATTAGACGATCCATAGGAGCGAGCCAAAGAGCCATGAAATCCTCGTTTGGGAGGTATTTCCATTTGTAATGCTTCGGGCATAAATCTTCGAATGAAGATCATGGTGAAGGCTTATTCAGCTCTTCCTTGTCATTGTTGGCTACAATGGTTTCTTAGCTTCTTGATAGTCAAGTGGAGATTCACGTCTTGTACCCCATGTAGAGTGGTTTCTATAAGAAACATCCAAATCAGGAAATCGAACTTATGACGGTTCAACAATCCATTGAATTAGGGGGAACAAGATTGTGATTGGTGCTATGGGAATGAATCATCGATAAGCATCAAAGTTAGAACATTCAAGTTCTAAGACATAAATTTCATGAAAAACGTCGGGTTTTCATGGGTGTATTTGTTTTATGAAAACTTCGGGTTTCAAAGACATTAAATTTGAAACTACAAGTTCAATTTAGTTTATGAACATTTAGTTCATAAAAGAGAAGTTTCTGCAAGAACACAGAATGCAATATGCTGATTTGAGTGTAATGGATTTGAGTTGTTTCAAGAACTCAAGTGTGAGTGCTTCGGGACCACGAAAGTGAGTCAACGGTTCAAATAAATTATTGAATCGATAATGTCCAAAAGTGATATTCAGGTCAATAATTTTGGATTAATTATCAGATTAATGGACTGCATGTCACTTTTAATTAATTCAATAGATTGGGACCATTTTGGGTCGATCGTAGAAGCAAAATAATACAAAGTTTCAGGCCATATTTTGGGCTAGATGGCTGCGGGCCATTCAAAAGAAAAAACCTAAAAATTGGTTAATGCCGTGAAATTGGGCACCAAAAATATATGGGTGCGACAAAAAAAACAAGCCAAAAAATGGCTTTGGGCCGAGAACAAAGGGGGGGCAGCCTAGCATTGGATTACTGGCTGCTGTTAAATTTGCAAAAAACCCATCAGCTGCAGGTTGCAGGTTGGGCTTGTGAGTGGCTCCTGCAGGCAGCCCAACAACCTGCAAAAAAAAAAAAAAAACTTGTAGGCTTGCTGTAGTCACAGGCCGAGAAAAAGAAAGAAAAGTATGCGGCCCAAAGAGTAAGGGATCACAGCTTCAGGCTGATAGGATGAACCCATTATTTTAGGCAAGGGCTCGGTATGCCATAGCAAGTAAAGCAGCAGGCTTGCTGCTGCAACGCGGGCTGAGGGAGAATAAAGGGACAAGCCCAGTCAGCTATTAGAGTCTTAAGCGTGGGTTGGAGGTGCTGCAAGCCTAGTGATAATAACCCAGGTGTCTGACCTAGTTTGTCACATGTGCAGTAAAGCCCAAAAAGGGCTGCTATCTCACAGTGGCGCGGTTAGTTCCCCTTTTTTCATTTCTTCCATTTTTTGGTTCAGATTATTAGGGTTTTCAGAACCCAAAAATAATTATGCTTCTATTTTATTTTGTTTCTTTGACTCACAATTTCCACATAGCAAAAATTGCGTAATACATGAAACAAATATATGAACACATACAATATATATCAGAAAGAAAATATAAACATAGGGGGGGTTCATGCATCATGGAGAATGTTTTCATGCTTCAAGGTTGTTTCAAATACCTTCCTTTATTTTAAGCGTACCTGATTGATAGAAAACAATAAAAGTCTTTGAATTTGTAGAAGATCATTCTTGGAAAGTCAAAATTGCATCTCCAATGCGTTGTATCATGTTCAACACAAAAAAAAAAAAAATGAATCAATAGCATGTATATAATTTCAATAAAATAATAAATTAATCATAAAAAAGTGATTAAAATGTAATACTCCCCAGATTGAAGATCAAACTCTCTTTAGCGCAGCGTCAAAAGCGTGCTGATAACATGTTGTAGGCATAATTTACTAAACAATTATGAGGCCAGAGAGAGAGGGAAGGTGCGGTATAGAGAGAGAAAGAGAGAGATGTGTAATTGTGGGTGTGTTCTATTCCACCCCATTGTGCCTTTATTTATAGTAGTAGAGAATGTTAATTCCTTATCCTTTTAGGATTACAATTCTTAATAGGTAATCAACTCCTTATAGGAATATAAGAGATATTCCTAGATTCACTAGGATTTACACAATCACATTCCTAATCTAATAGGACTGCAACATACACTAATTTTCCCCTGGTGCAAATATATCTTCTATAAGCAAAAACAACTGTGAAAGGTGCTCAAAAGTCTGAAATAATTCTGAACACAAGACTTATTTTGAGATAACAACTATTGGTTTTAGCAAAATGATATGACAAATAGGTTAAAATTTTAGTTCATCTGATAAATTAAAAAAAAAGTGTATAAGTTTATATGACATGTAAAAAAAAATCTCCTTCAACGTGTTATGCTTCTGTTGATTCATTAAGAGCATCTTTAATTGAATCTCTAAGACCATCTCCAACCCTTGGCCTAAAATCTAAAATTTTTAGCCCATAAAATTTAGGTTTTAACCCAGAAACAACTTTTCTACTCCAACCATTCTGGCCTAAAATTTTAGCCCTAGATTAGTAAAGAATGAATTTAGGCTATTTTTTGAAATTAACTTTAAAAAAAATTATGTAGAGTATCCTAAATTAATTTTATGAATATTTTAACCTAAAAATATTTAAATTCCGATAAACATTGAAAAATCACTAAATCGACACATGAAAATCATGAAACACTACAAAAGAATATGAAACACATGATAGAGGTGTATAAACACAAGACACATGAGCAAACACATGGTTTTGGAAGATGGTAGAAAGAAAGATTGGAATAATTGTAGGAGAAAAATGAGTTTTGTATGGATGTTTCAACAAATATATAGGTATTTATAGAGTTTTATGGGTGAATTTTGAGTTAAATAATTTTTTATAATTATTTTAACCGTTGAATTTAAATTTGAGCCGTTAGATCAATTTTTTACTGTTAGATTTGATCATATTCGGTCTCAGTCGTTGGATTCAAT